ATGGATGAGGTTGCTCTTGCTTGACAGGTGGGCAACATAAACTCATTTTTACTGTATCAGAGAACCAATAGATCAGTACTGTTTTGTGTGTTTGTGATCGCTAATCCCAGCTGGTTAGCTTTGCCGCAGTATTTGTAGCGATAGTTTGCTAACCCACAACCTAGCTAACGTTAATTAATCGCTATGTCATTGATTGCTCTAATGCCATGGTATGTGTCTGTGTAATGTTTGCGAAGGATTTTATGGCCACGAGGATCTAAGAAAACAAGTTTGCTAGCCCAGTGTCGTTTGCCTTGTCAATGTGCATCCATGAATTTGGGGGAGCAGAGCTTCTTAAGGAGCACTGAAGGGAGGGAGGTATTTATTTTGCCATTGAGTTTAAATACCAACAATCGTTCTCCAGAATCACTTACTGTATTTTTAATAGGAAACCGACAAAACTACAATGTGAGTTTTGGTTAGTGCAGGCCTAGATTAAGCTGGCGTGATGTTATGCCTTTAACTTTTAAGCATTATTTATTGAAACAAGCAAAATATTTCCCAGTGGAAGAAGATAAAATGACTTCAAAAAAGAAACAAGTAATCCTATATTCTTGCATAACATTATAATGCCATAATGAGAAATATTACATGACATCTAACATTTTTCACTTAAGAATTCAACCTTTACATTTGATGCAAGCGGCCACTGGAGCTTTTGAAGAATCTAGATTTGCTTGACGTGCTAGACCTGTTAGCGTTGCACTTCAGGTTTGTTCAATGCTGTCTATAGTGAAGCATTTATAATGCTAACAGAATAAATATTGACAAACCGTAGTTTGATTTGTAGGTGATATGCAGCTGTACATTACAGGCATGTCCATGTAGAATGACCCAAAGCAGCTTTTACACCTCTACCTACATGCACTCTAAATTAAAGCCCTCTACATCTCAATTATGTGATCAATTATCTACGTAGCCCTTGTTCGGATAGAGTTAATGTATTCTTAGCAGAGCATATGCATTACATCCACTAAAACAGCCTAATGCAATTCCAAGGATGTGTCTTAAATCTCTCAAATAAACTGCTTGTTCCCTAGATAGTGAATTATTATCTATGAAATAATGTGAGTGATCTGTGAAACAAAAGTGAGTGATGATTTAGTGGAATATTGGGACCCTCAGCACTTTAGGACAGTTTGGTTGAGGGTTGTCGCAAGTAAAAAAGGACCTTTAATAGTGACCACTTCAACTTAGCATTAGTTTACGAGTATCGTGAGTAAAATGATTTGGACTGCATTCTGGGATACGCTAGACTTTTAAGACATGTTTGTCCCTTACTTTTTCAAGTGCATTGCAGATGCCATTACTGCATGGCTGTATCCACAGTTTGTTCACTATATAGGCAACAAGGGCTCAATTTGAGACACAGCCACACTCATCTTGAGTTCCAGAGCTCTACACTAGCCATCTGTTAGAAATGAGCAGTTTTAGAATGGTGTTCTACGTCAAGCTCACTACATAGTGTACAGGGGGTTTATTTGGGACACAACCACAGGCTTCAACATATGCTTAATCCTATTGATTTGGTGGACGAGACTGACTAAAGACTACTTATCTAACACATTTCTGATCAGTCTGTTTATCATGGCTCTTCACAAAAATGCCTTTTGATCAATTTGATAGCCAGATAAGCCTCAGCGTCCCCAGCTGACACACATTAACAAATGCATTCAATAAAACAGTAAACACGGCCATCAGGGCAGACAAGAAGACTCCAATCCGATATTTAACATCCTAACTGTGCCTTAGTCTTTAAAGCATGCAGAATACCGTTCCATGCCAATCAAAGTGCATGTTTGGTGCATCGAAACACGTCTGATGTGGTGATGGTGACGTAATGATGTTTCAGGAGGCCTTCATCTATCTCACACGCACAAATGCAGCATTTCTGGGAGAGCGAGAGAAAGAGATCCATATTTAGAAGACAGCAGGAGCACAACGGCATCGTAAATCTGCCTGAACATCTCCTGTAAAGGTTATTCCGCTCATTAGAGGCCAGTAAGCCTGCATGTCTTCTGTATCTCCCTCTGTTTCTGGTACAGAATCCTCCAGCCTGCGGTAACCGCGCTTTGCCGAGAATAGACGTCCCTGGTGACCCCTCCATCTCCCCAGCTTCATAAACAGTTTTTCCTGCACTCAAACACTCAGAGGTGAAGCCTTTTTACGAAGAGAGAGACAGGAGGCCATTAAGGAACAGATGGAAATGGAGTCTAAATGGAGAAAGTAGGGCTGTCGCTATCGATTATGTTTATAATTGAGTAATATATAGATTGTTTTGACAGTTTAAACCAATGAAAATGAAAAAAAATAACAGAAATGGACTTAACTGAACAATGACAAACCATGTGTAGCTCTTCAAAGACTCCAATACAGGCAAAAAAACTGCTTTATATACTGTATATAAACACTATGTGGCAAAAACGCATAAAATGAGCTATTCTTTCATTTATAATGCGCGTGTGTAAATATAAAGTATAATGTAATTAATTAAATAAATATAATTGTACTTGTAGTTTTGGTGTTTAGCGTGACCCCTACTGACCCATACTGACCCCTACTGAACAGGCCGTGCCCCAAAAACAGCTCAAATGCACTCCACCAAACAAGCCGTCGATCAAAACCATGCGTGGTGTGGATCTAAGTGACACAGCTTAGCTTTTAGTGCTTAGCTTTTTCAGCCACTTTAACCTCTAAACATGCCACTGCAGACCATAAAAAAGCTGATACACAGGTCCTAAAACAGAAACGTCCAGAAGAAACGCCTGGACAGCAGATCCAACCTGCAGTCCCGGATGCTGAGTTGATACGGTGATACATTCTGAAGCAAATTGGAGAGACCAGGCCCTGGGTTGCTAGGCAACAGCAGAGAGGAGGACACAGGTGGGATGTTTTGAGCTAGAAGAGGCTCTGCCCCCCCTTGGTCTAGGCCACACCCCCCTCAGGTAGAGAAGCATGTGTAAACTGCAGCAGCTGCGTCTCCAAGGACGATGGAAAAGAGCGAGAGAGATAGAGAGAGAAGAGAGAGAGAGAGAGAGAGAAGGGGGGGTTTCTTACGTAACCTCATTTGTCCTCCTTCGCCTTCTGTCTCACACGCGGTGCTACACCTGAGACTCTTCACACGGAGGGTGAGACAGCACCTCTCCGTCTCTCTCTTTAAAAAAAACAAATAAAAACAGTCTGGCATCGTCACACATGCAAAACAAGGATCTGAGCAGTAGCATGGCTTCTCACACGGTAGCAAAGCCTCACATTCTAGCAGCAAGACGGAGACGGACGATGTCCATGTCCGTGTCCACATGGTGCCCAAGAGGAAGAGCCGATAAAATTTTGCTTTCCACAGAAGTCCATTCCTCTGTCCTTCTCATTCGTTGCTGTTTGGCTTTCTGAGTTCCAGTGTGGATATGACAATAGCTGGTTAGCCTCGTTTGGACTGCAGCTCTCTCCTTTTTCAACCCTTAGGGATGGTCTTCAAATCCAGACTTTGAATCTGGTTTCCGGTCTTATATTTTATAACTCTTGACTGGTCATCTACTTCCATACCTACTACTGACCGCACTACTGGAAACAGAATTCGAGGACCACATTTGGAGACCCCTTAACCCAATAGTTCAAACCAAAAAAAAAACGAAATGTTGCTAAAGCGAACTGGCCTGCAGTTATTATGATGCTAATTGCTAATATCATGCTAATTGGTGATATCCATATTTTTGTGATATAAAGTTACTTTTTAGAGATACAAGGTTTTGTTTCCGACAGCAGCGATATGTTGTGTTTTGGATACTGATATGCTGGTCAACCAGTACGACCATACTGGGTGACCAGCTAAACCAGCACCAGACTATCAACAGACCGGCTTAAACCACTATGAATGAGCTTAGACTAGGAATTCCATTTGCTGGAGACTTCAAATCTTCACGAATATGGAGATCAGCGTTTTTCTAAAGGCTAGCTCCCTGCTAACTCCTTGCTGCAAAGCAACAGCAGTGTTGTAAATGTTAATACGCTGTGAAGCTAGTTAGTTAATGTTGGCTAGCGTAGCTAAAAGCGCGTAGGCAGAAAGCTCTACCTGCCCTTTAACGAAATAATTTGACTAGCAAGGATGGTTTTGCTAGCAAAAAACAGAAAATCACTTCAAAAAAGCTAATCGGTTAATTCTGTTTAGCATAGGTAGCTATCATTTCGATATGTATAGGCAGAAAGTGATATAGACTAGCAGCGTTGTGTTTTTAGCATCTTTCTAGGAAGCTAGTCAGCTAATATTATCTAGTGTAGCCTGTTAGCTGTTGTTTCAGTATGTTTAGACAGAAATTTCTGGCACTCGCCCTTTAAGAAAGTGATCTACTACTGACTAGCAGGCTAGCGTGGTTCTGCTAGCTAAAACAGAAGATCACTTTGGTCTTATGACACCTTTTAGATGTTTTGATGACATTAGATTCAAAATCTACCCCATACTTTGAACAGTTTGATGTCCTTCTGGCTAAAGCAGGTCCTTCAAGGAGTCCATCATCCTAGCCGCCACTGAAGGCCTACCTTTGCATTGACTTGATCGGTCAGCAAAGGAAAATGCTCATGAGGCTTGCTGACCACTGCGAGTTCTCAGCACACCTGGAATGCTAAAATAGCGAGCTAAAAATGTCTCTGCTGTGGAAAACAATTAAAAAAGCACCTCGGTCTACAGAAAACAAGCGCAACCCATAGTGAAAGACAAGATTCTGCTGTTTTGAAGCGCATAGATTCACTTGCAGCCGTAGTTTTGGTGTTTAGAGTGACCCGCCTTACTGAGCAGGCCAGTTTTAAGCAGTGCAGTTTTTCCTGAAAGCCATGTTAGCGAGAGAAAAGACCTCATCTGTCCATAGTTTGTGGTCACATTCAAGCAGCAAAAGAGAGTCAGTGTCCATTTCCCGGCACATGGAGTCGATGTCCAGGACTTCATGTGTCCAAGAAAAAAAGTGGAAATAATTAAAATGGTCAGATAACTCCATTTTTAGCGATTTAGAAATTTCAAAAAGCAAAATGTTTGACATTAACTTATATTAAGCTTCTTCTGTGAAGAGATACGATGTTTCTTACGACACCAGCGTAATGAAACGTTACGTATCGCTCCGTCCTTTTCGTTCACCGCTATTTGAGTTTGACGGGCCACGGCAGGCAGGTCCTGAGCCCCAGCATGGACGTGAAGACGATGGCGGGCCGGTGTCGTTTGAAGCGCAGCCCCTTCTTCAGCCTCTGTCCGTTTTCCGACACACGGAGCTCCCCCTGCTGGACGGAGGCCGTGATGCGGCTCAGCAGCTCGCCGTGCTCGGTCGCCTGGCGCTCAGAGCGCACAAACATTTCCCGAAGCTCCTCCAGCCGCTGCTCCATCTCCCGGATCACCAGCCGACGCTCCTCCACCTCCAGGAGGCGCCGCCGAGCTGCCTCAAACTCCATGCTGGAGCTGGGGGTCACCAGCTTGGAGGAGGGAGCTGTGGATGGTCCGGAGGGGGGCTCTGAACCGGGCTGGGCCGCAGGTAGACGCTGGAAATCCCCCATGGAGATGGACCGCCGCTTAGGGGGCGAGGATGAGGAGGTGAATGAAGGTGGAGAAGGGGGCGAGGCTGTCAAGGAAGGGGGTGGGGCTGTAGAAGAAGAGGGTCCAGCCGATGTTCCGTCCATGCCGTCACCCTCCTGCTGCTGTTTCAGCATCTTGCCTTAGAGATGAGGCCGATGATACTGAAGACACTAATGAAGCTAATGCTAATTACTCTAATGCTAATGATGCCAATGCTGCTTTGGTCGTCCTTTTCTGCCCGTCTCACCGTAGTTTGGGTCCTGATATGTGGCTGCTGTCGCTCCTGTTTAGTTTTTGGATCCGCTGAGACACACACACACACACACAGAGAGGGAGAGAGAGAGAGAGAGAGAGAGAGAGAGAGAGAGAGAGAGAGAGAGAGAACGAGTGTCGTGATGCCAATGCTAAAGCTGCTTTGGTCGTCTTTTTTCTACCCGTCTGACCGCAGAAGGGTCCTGTTTTGTGGCTGCTGCCGTCGTTGTTTTCAGCTCCGCTGAGAGAGAAGGAGGGAGAGAGAGAGGGAGAGAGAGCGAACGAGTGTGGTGATGCTAGCAGAGAGAAGCACCATTCATTAACAGCAGCAGAGCAGCTTCTCTCATCAGGACCAGCCTGCTGCAACGTGATTGGACAGGATTATGACTCAAATGATGCTGATTGGACAAATACTCTTGCTCGCTCTTGCTCTCTCTCTCTCTCCCCCTTCCATCCTCTTCTCTCTCTCTTTCTCTCTCTCTCTCTCTCTCTCTCTCCCATCTTCCTCTCTCTCTTTTACATCATATTCTCTCTCTCTCCATTTCATCCTCCTCTCTCTCTCTCTCTTACCCTTACATTCGCCTCTCTATCTCTCTCCCTTACATCCTATTCTCTTTCTTTCACTCTCCCTTCCATCCTCCTCTCTCTCTCTCTCCCTTTTATCCCCCTGTCTATCCCCCTTCCATCTTCCTCTCTGTCTCTCTCCTTTACATCCTCTTCTCTCTCTTTCTCTCTCCCTTCCATCCCCTCTCTCTCTCTTATCCATCCTCCTATCTCTCTCCTTTTTATCCCCCTCTTTATCTTTCTCTCTCCCTTACATTTTCTTCCCTCTTTCTCTCTTTCATCCTCTTCTCTCTCACTTCCTTCCTCTCCTTCTCTCTGTTTCCCTTATATCCTCCTCTCCTCTCTCCCTTTCACTTTCATCCTCCTCTCTCCCTGTCCCTCTCTCCCTTCCATCCTCCTCTCTTCTTTCTCACTTTCTTTCCTCTCACTTCCTTCCTCTCCTCTTTCTTTCCCCTTCATCCTCCTCTCTTCTCTCCCTCCCTCTCCCTTTCACACTTTCATCCTCCTCTCTCTCCCTCTCTCCCTTCCATCCTCCTCTCTTCTCTCTCTCTCTTCCTTTCATCTTCTTCTCTCTCCCTTCCATCCTCTCCTCTCTCTCTCTCTGTCTCTCATCCTCTTCTCTCTCTTTCTTTCACTGCCCCCCTCAGCTTCTAGGACAAAAAAGGTGAACCAAAATACTTTACCACTTTTTCTTTCCTGGGATGCTGCCCATCTCTCATTCCCTGAGCATCCTTGGTCTCTGTTGCCCATAGCAACACAGAGAGTTGGGCCCTCATATTTCTCTCTTCCTCTTTCTCTTTCTGCCGTCTGTCTGTGGCTCGTCCTCCCCCGCGCTGGTCAGAAATAGCTGGATGTGAGCTGGACGCCTTTCAAACAGAACATTTGATGATCTGTCTCCGCTGGTCCGTTGCTAAGTAACAGAGAGGCACGGATACGGGACAGCAGAGAGACGAGAGCACGTTCATATCAGTGACCACTCAAACTGAGGATCCTGTATGAGCTGCACATCAGAGAAGAAGGAGATCTGACACCAACATGGAATAATAGTGCTACAAATAATAGCAATAATAATAATAATAAGAGTAATTATTATTACTAATATGCATTATAAAAACATTTACAAAAAACGTTTTAATAATAATAGTACATTCATTATTATGAGGATTTTTTAAATGAATTTTTTATATTATATTTTATATTTATATATTTGTTTATATATATTTTTTAAATATTATTTTTATTGTATTATTTTTACAATATTACAACTCAATATACTATGTTTAATTTCATATTTTAAATACTCTTTAATGTTCCTAAACTCTGTAATCTGAGCATGAGCAACACAAACAAACCATTACTGTAATGTTAATTAAGCTGAACTGCATGTACCTGTCCTTTGACAAGATGCAGCGTTTTACAGTCATTACCACTTCTACTACTAATAATATTTATTATTATTATGATTATTGTTATTATATTGTGTAAATACATATAAATATAAGCAAAACTCAGGAACCCCACAGGACCCCCACAGAGCAGGCATTATTTGGGTGGTGGGTCATTCTCACTGATAGCACTGATGGTGGTGGTGTACAGTGTACACACACACACACACACACACACACACACACACAGAGAGAGAGAGAGAGAGAGAGAGATAAAATGAGAGAAGATAATGTGAGACAATCACGATAAAATTTTGGAAGAAAGCGAAAACTGCCAAAATCTCACACTGATTCACAAAGGACTTAAAGTGGAATTCCACCCATTTGTCAAAATTTCAGCAAAATTTCAGTGGTCAAGATTTTAAATATCTGTATTTAATCTAGAACTGCCAAAAATGTTAATACAAAATTACTGCTAGCTTAGCGCTAACAAACTACTAGAATCCCACAGAGACGCTAGCAGAAGCAATAGTTTTTTTTCCTCATCTTTCTGCCGAGTTTTGGCATTTATGACCCGAACTGAAGGCCCTCTAACGGTCTCGGTTCCCCACTGATAAACACATAAGAGAGAGACAGAAAGAGGTGCTGCAGCTCTGTTCTGCTTTTCTTCTCTGAATTCAGTCATCTAACCTTCATTCTTTCGTCCTGTTTCTTTCTGCTCCTCCTCTGCAGCTCTGTTATGTAACTGACCACTCCGCCTCATCCACCCCCCTGAACACACACACCTGGTCTTACTCTGAGTCCTGACCGCTTACAACTCCTCCCCCTCCCCACTTATGAAAAAAAAAGGTACTGAGTGGAACTGAATAGGGTTCTCTGAAGTGATTCCATAGACAAACCACTTTTGGTTCCTTAAAGAACAAATAACCCTTTTATGTCCATCCAAACCTTAACAATGAAACACCATTCACGCTGTAATACTTGCATTTATTATTTCCCAGAAATCATTGTTCTCTGAAGTATTTACAGCCATGAGTTCTATATAGAACCATTTGCATGCTTAAACGGTTCTTTGTATGGTGAAATGGTTGTACATGGTTCTATACAGCACCAAAAAGGGCTCTTTTGTTGTTACAAGCTTGACATAGTAACAATAGCAGAACCTTTTTGTTTCTATATAGAACCATTTTTAAAAAGGTTCTATATAGAACCACATACAGCACATTCTCCATCAATCTGAAGAACCGTTTCACCATGCAAAGAACTATTTAAGCAGGCAAATTGTCCTATATAGAATTCATGGTTCTAAATAGAGCCATTGTCTTTACTAAAGAACCCTTGAAGAACCACCTTTTTTAAGAAGGCCCTAAGGATTCCGCTCAGGATTTGTTGTTTTATTTTTACAGCAGTGACAGTGCAATTCAATATAGACAAAGTTTGGTTGTTATTATTATTATTATTATTATTATTATTACTGTTGCAATTGTAAGCCACCTGAAAAAAAATGAACAAGGACAGTGTCACTGATGTGAAGCACTGCTCTTACGAAGCTATTAGTGTGCAAAGAGCGCCCCCTCGTGCAGAGTTTTTATGCTGCTAAACATGACTGAGTGATTTACAAGCCAGTTCCACTCAGTGTTTCACCTCTAAAACACTAGACCGCTCATCAGACGTGCCAAACCAGACCAGAAGCAAGTGAGAACCTGGCTGCCAGGAGCTATCTCTGCTCTTCAGGACTGTTTTGAGCACATTGACTGGGAGATGTTCATAGAAGCAGCAACTTCCGGTGACTCCATCAACCTGGAGGAGTATACAGAATCAGTGACTGGATGAATCGGCAAGTGTATTGATGATGTTACTGTCTCTAAACTCGTCACAACTCACCCCAACCAGAAACCATGGATGACCGGAGAGGTGTATATTCAACATCTCTCTGAGCACTGCAGCCCAATTTGCTTCAAGTCCACCACCATCATCCCTGTGCCGAAGAAATCTCCAGTGTCCTGCCTCAATGACTACCGTCCCGTTGCACTCACTCCAATCATCATGAACCGCCCCAACCGCTCAACAGATGACGCCATCTCCACCACACTCCACCTGGCTCTCACCCACCTGGACAATAGAGACACCTATGTCAGAATGCTGTTCATAGACTTCAGTTCAGCATTCAACACCATCATCCCTGAGCAGCTAATTGGAAAACTGAGCCTGCTGGGCCTGAACACCTCCCTCTGTAACTGGGTCCTGGATTTCCTGACTGAGAGACAGGAATTAATCAGGATAGGTAATAACATCTCCGGCACCACCATACTGAGCACCGGTGCCCCTCAGGGCTGTGTGCTCAGTCCACTGCTGTTCACTCTGCTGACTCACGACTGTACTGCAAAATACAGCTCAAACCACATCATCAAGTTTGCTGATGACACGACTGTGGTGGGTCAAGAATGATGAGTCAGCATACAGAGAGGAGGTGCTGCGGCTAACGGACTGGTGCAGAACCAACAACCTGTCTCTGAATGTGGACAAAACTAAGGAGATGGTTGTTGACTTCTGAAGAGTGCAAGGTGACCACCCCCCACTGGCTCTGCTGTGGAAATCGTCAGGAGCACCAAGTTCCTCAGTGTCCACATCACAGAGAACCTCACCTGGTCCCTCAACACCAACTCCATAGCCAAGAGAGCCCAACAGCGCCTCTATTTCCTGCAGAGATTGAAGAAAGCTCATCTCCCCCCTCCCATCCTCACCATGTTCTACAGGGGGACTGTGGAGAACATCCTGAGCAGCTACATCATCGCCTGGTTTGGGAATTGCACCGTCTCCAACCGCAAGACCCTACAGCGCATAGTGAGGACAGCTGAGAGGACCATCGGGGTCTCTCTCCCCTCCATCATGGACATCTGCTCCACACACCGCATCTGCAAAGCCACCAGCATTGTGGACGACCCCATCCATCCCTCACACGGACTTTTTACACTGCTGCCATCTGGCAGAAGGTACCGGAGCATCCGTGCCATCACTGCCAGACTGTGCAACAGCTTTGTTCCTCAAGCGATCAGGTTTTTAAACTCATAAGGACTGATCTGAAAACCCCCCCTCACACACACACTCTACACTCACACACTCACACTCACCTCTTTTGATGCTCTACTTGCACTATCTGGAAAATTGCTGCTAACACTGTGTTTACACTGTTTACTCAAGTACTACCTCAGTAACTGCTGTGTTTATGTATGTTATCTGACTGCGTAACTCACAGATCACAGCATGTTAAATATGTCTGCACCTTATTCCACAATCCTACCTCATGTCCAGAAATGAGTGCTGTGTCGGTGCTGCACTGCCCTGTCTGTTTACTGTGTCTAATGTCTGTTACCATATTTATTGTATTGTTTCTAGTTTAATTTTTTGTTTGCACACTTTCTGCACGTTTGCATTTTGTACTCTGCTGTTCCATGTTGCACCGTGTTGTTCCTGGAGGAACGTCATTTCACTCCACTGTGTACTTGTACATGGATGGAATGACAATAAAAGCCTCTTGACTTGACTTGAAAAGCATATTCATGTTTAAAAACAATCAACAGAAATCATCTGTATTAGCACGTATACAAAAGGGTGCTCTGGAGTGATGCCTTAGAAGAACGTCTCTTGGTTCTCTAAAGAACCTTTCAATGGATGGTTCTTTAAAGAAGCATTTTCGCTCATAAAATGACTCTAAAAAAGAAATATTTACAGAATGATATTTGTCTTTAAGAGGTTCTTTATGCATCCCTGACTGATTCCTCCACCATTTAAATGGTTCTTTGGAACTTCAGAACCAGACTGGCAGACCCAAAAACGAACCTGGGTGTGAGTGAGAGTGGTGAAGCTGTCAGACAGACAGCTCTGTTTTGCTCCATTTCTCTTTTATTCACAGACCCACTGTAGGAAATTAATCTTGAGGTGAACACATTTCCACCGTGACCCAATTCCTCCTGACTGTATGTGTGTCAGAGTGTTTCAGTGCGTTAATCCAACCAGCAGATCAGACAGAAGACAACAGCACCTGCACATACTGACTAATCTCACACAGCACTAGACAACTGACTGAAAACACTACAACTTAATAATTTTAGGGGGAATTTAAAAACTCCTGCATAATTCAGTGTTTGAGATGTAATCAGAGGGATTCAGAGTGGTTTGGTGTGAAATGGTTCAGATGTCTTTACAGTGGTGGTGATAGGAACCAGGGGTCACCATGACTACAACACAAATATAGACATTTTATTTACTATCCAAAACCACCAGTGAACCTACACGAGTCTTCTGAGTTTATATGGAATGTTGATGATGGTAAAATGGTGGAAAATCTGAAATAATATGTTTTCTTTGGGGACTATTTTGCCTCACAACACCCTTCATGTATCCCTCCACCATGAAAGGATTTTAAGGCCAAAATCTTCTCAAAACTATCGTAAAACAGTGTCTCAGACATCAGGCAGTGAATTTATAACCATTTCATGTAATTAACTTTCTGTGATTTACTGATGTGGTAACACTACAGTTTAGATTTAAATATTTACGCTAGTTGGCTAGTTAACGCAGGTGGTTACAAAAACAGTGGCTTCAAGAAACTCACGTTTGTCGCTCTGCCTCAGAAACACTACCAACTATGATTCAGTCAGGAGGATCTCATTTTCAAACGCCCAACAAACCATCTTCTGTTTCGTTTTCCTGTTCGTTGATCTGGCGCGATCAACAGTTTGAAAGTATATTGTTTGACGTGATTAGGTGATGCTTTTTTTCTGTTTCCTGAAACGTGTTGCAAGAAGTTGAGACGCTTGCAACTGTTGCATGTTGCAGGCGCTTTTCAGTATGACCCACCCACCCATCTTCCAGGATGCTTTGCCTTATGCAACTCAAGTGCAATTTAGTTTCATGCAGGGTTCAAGCAACTAAAGTTGCATGAAAGTTTCACTGTGTAAAGCCACCAGCCTAATAAACCCACATCTCAGTGCAAACATCAGGGTGAACATCAGGGAGAACATCAGTGTGAGCAGCACTGAGGCTCAGAAATACGCTGAAATTGGACAGAAGCAGAAACAGAGACAGAGAAGCAGCTGAGGGCAGAGAAACTGGGTTTGTTTTAATATAAAGGCATCAGGAATCAAACACACACTCTCATCCCAGCCACACACACACCTCAGCCCTAATCCACCCCCCTGCCCCGTCAAACCAACAATCAGTCAGGCACAACGCAAACCATGAGCTACATGGCAGCAATAGGAGAGAAAAACATGAACATCTGTTTGCATTAACACATCATCGGCCCAAACCCGCACCAAATAAAGCTCCGCCTTCTTTTCATTAAAGGGGTACTCCAGCTTTCTTTACAGAAACACAATTACAATAGAAGTCAATGGGCGATGAGTTTTTACGCTGTAAGTGTAAATTAAAGAGCCTGTATTTTACAATTTCCTTCTTTGTTTATTGTTTCTTATTACACATATTACGTGTGGTTTTACATGTGCATTTTACATGACCATTGTCCAACCTCTTTAACTCGTAGAGTCCGTTGTTGTTACCATGCCTTTAAGACCTATTTATGCAAATTAGCTCTGTTCTGATTGGCTGCCCTGCAGCAGGCCTAATTGAAAAAGCAGTCTGAGTCTGAGTGAGTGGGCAAGGCAAAACTGTTGAATAGGCGGATATATGTACATATTGGTATTTCTGACATCACAAAGAAGGCAAATTCAAAACAGGCTGTTTTTCGCAGCACATGCAGTGTTACGCCAACATAATAACGAGTGTTTCAGCCTGGACAGCTTTTCTTTATCCCTTAGAAATAAACAGGCAGTTTTTGTTACTGTGCCTTTAATACTGACATATGCAAATGAGCTCTGTTCTAATTGGCTGCCCAGTATTGCACCTCATGCAGAAAGCAGTCTGTGCTGAAACACTCCTTATAATGTCAGCATTAGTTGGCAGGGCTGAAAGGCTGGAATAGGCGGATATATGTAAATATGTTGTTATTTGTGACATCACAAAGAAGGGAAATTCAAAACAAGCTGTTTTCTACACATGGACTGTATGGACAAGGGACATACTTGAAACCAGTGCAGCTGTGGGCAGAGTTTTCACAGGCTCACCATGGATACCAAAAAACCTTCTGAAGAGTGAAAGTAACCGGAACTAAACTCTGATGTTTTGGATTGATGTTTTAAATTCATATTATGGTCACATTTAAAATATTAACTGACAGAATTCAGCAACTGCCCATTGGCTTCTATTACAAGTGAGACAGAAAAACTCCGGATTATTCCTTTAAAGAAAAAGAAAACAGAAGGGAATTTTTCATATTTTCTTTTTGTTTTGTTTTTTTTTTCACAGAGGCAAAGAAGAAAAGAAGTGCCACATTGTGTCGAGTCTCTGAGAAGCAAAGAGGAGGAAAGAAAACTTGAGAAACGAAAAAACTCACCATTTACATACAGGAAAATAGATATATATTATACTTTATCAACATATACAGTACAAAGAAGATTCACAATCTTTTTCTGCCCCCAAAAACAATCTGAAGCTGCACGTCACTCTCTCATTTAAAGACGATTTTAATCGTAGGGACATCAGGTCTTCATCACGAATAAGTGCTGATTCTGATTTCACTTAATACAGCATGAAAAATAGGGGTGAATCAGTAATTAAAATGAGTCATTTCAGGAATTCAGGACCAGTTCAGGATCAGTTGTAAACTCTTTGATAGTGATTCAGCAAATAAACTCAGTCACTCAAGAGCGATTCAGTGCTTAAAATAATCTGAGCCATGTAATAGTGATTTAGTAACTACTGAAACTGAGTCATTTAGGAGTGAATCAGTAATTAACATGGGTAATTTGTGAGTGAGACCGTAATGAGACTGGGCAATTTAGAAGTGATTCAGTACATAAACTTAGCCATTCAAGAGTGATTCAGTGTATAAAACAAACCAAGCCGGGTAACATTTAATTTAATTTAATTTAGTAATTAAAGAAACAGAGTCATTTAGGGGTGAATCAGTAATTAACATGATTCATTTAGGACTGAGACAGTGAGACTGAGTAATTTAGGAATGATTCAGTGCTTAAATCAAACTGAGCCATGTAACAGTGATTCAATAATTAATTAATCATTAATTTAGGAGTGATTCAGGGAACCATTTGATAGTAACTCACTATATAAAAAGAGCCATTTCATAGTTAAACTAAGACATTTTATAGTGATTCAGTAATACAACTAATTCATTTAGGAGTGATTCAGTAATTAAAATAACTATATGCCATTTTTGCCATAGCAATTTAGTTATTAAATTGAGTCTTTAAAGAGTGATTCAGTAATTAAGTAACTTATAAGCCATTTCATGGTGATTCAGTAAAGAATCATGACAGAGTCATTTAGAAATGACTCACACTTCTACATTTAGAAGTGTAGGGGATCTTAACATCTAATATTTATTGGCTAATTTAGGTTTATTATTGTAAAATATCTGAATTACAGCGCTTAAAATGTGTTTACACCCAAATGGAGAGGTTTTTGGTGCTGGAAGGGTGGGAGATGTTCGTGAGATGTTTTCCAGAATGGAGCATAAGCTTGCTCTGCGAATCAAGATGGATTTTTGTGGCTCATCTCTCAGACAGTCAGACGTCCGGTTCATTGATTAGCGATAGAAAGGAGTTCTGTTTGACTCAGAGGGAAAAGAGTGCGCAACAGCGAAACATTCCAATCAATATACTTTCATCTGAACAAAAGAACGAACAAGTCGTAAAAAAAAAAACAACAGAAAAGCACAAATACCCACAAAGACCTGCGGTTATTTCTCCAGCTCTTAGCTTTATCTCAATCGTGTTCAGCATGCCTTTTATAAAATGACTTTACTTTTCTTTAACAGAACGAACGGAAACAAAGAAAAAAAAAACAGCAGAACTATAAACAATCAAACGGTGAAAAACAAACACAGGAGACGGCATTCAATATCCAGAAAAAGTCACGGCTTCGCAAAACACAAGACCGAAAGCATGCCACTACAGAGCTTTGGAGGTTTTAATACATCGCCATCTTCATCTTTTTCTTCTTTGTCTGTCTGGATGACAAAAAAAGCTCGGAAACATTTCGGGGCGACCTGCAGCAAGGCGAAGCGACAACACGGCACTGAGCGAATCGGAATCCATGCAATAGAAACAGTCCCATCACCCGCAATGCATCTGTCCACATGACCACATGCGTTTAGATCCATATGAAAAAGTTCTCAAGTTCAGGGCCCTTCAGATGGTCAAAGTAGCCCAGGAGGAAGCTCCCAAACATTAGCAATTACAGTCTCTCTGTGAGTGACCTGATTTGGCAATTTTCTTCTCCAGGCTCCGCCCACAAAGTTGTTCTTTTATAGCTTCCGTTGTGCCATTGGACAAGCTTTCAAAGCTTTTTAAAGCTTTTAAAACTTTTTTACAGGTATAAATGAAGCTGAGCTTCCAGTTTAGGATGCTTAAGAAGTTGGTGTTGCTGAACAAAACTAGGCAGGTTCACCCCGTTAGCTTAACTCAGCAACACATAAACAACACCCAATCTGGCCTAACAGTGTGACCTTTCACCCACATACAAATTCGAATTTCTGTATTTTGACTCTAAATGTAGGTATTGTGATATAAACTGAGTCTGTTCTACAGTTTCACATTAGGTTTAATGGGATTTCTACCTGCATTCTGTAAAGCTTGTCCAACCTAACAACAGTAGGTACGGAAAAAACATTTGTGGGCGGAGCCTGGAGTGAACAAGACCTCTGAAATCGTGCATCATTCTGTAGTCGGTGTCATCCCCATATTAGGAGTTTCGGGTCTAAGCTGTTTTCCGCTAAGGGAAAAATGAATGGCGGTTTCGGAAAATTGCCAATATTGCTCTTTTGTTGACGATACTTTCTTTTTTTTTTGTTCTGGCTACTTTGAATTGCGATGTTGTTTAGCAATCAATATACAAATAATGCAACATTCATGCTACAAGAAAGCTGCGCACTGAAATGATGCATGAAAGTAAGTCCGCTGTTAAATGTCAACACTGTTACACATCAGAACCAGCTACTCAAACTGCACGAACTCTCGAAACTACCACACTGGACAAAGCCTGCTGGTTTGTGTGACATATTTTGGTGAGGTCAGTCCTATGATCCATTCGGTCCATTCAGTGCACAGCAGCATTAGCATGCAGCATTATTTGTATTTTGGCTCCTTAATAACCTTGTTATTCAGAGGATCCAGCAATGTTTGGAGGAAAAAGGTACATACGGCAGAACTTATCAGCTTCACAACATTTTAGTTTATGCCAGCAGTGATTTTCAAAACTGATGTCCATTTTCCTCATGGAGAAAAACAGCTCAGGCCTGGGTTTCCTGATATGGGCATGATGACAAACTACACAACGACGCACAACTTCAGAGGTTTATTAAACAAAGCAAACAAAAAAAAGCAGACAAATAATCTTCTCGCAACAATGAACTGAACTATATTCGAATACAGCAGCGTCGAAGGCTGGAAAACGAGGATCACAAATGTCCGCTTTCTATCAGGAGCCTCACACACACACATACACACACTCCTCTGGCGCATTAAATTCCAGCATTTCGACCCCCGACCCCCATCTGCCAATCACATCCACCGTCTGCTCTGACTGACAGCGTGTGTAACCTCCACGAGCCCGCTGAAGGTGAAGAGCGTTTTCAGTCCACACAGCTTCGCACTGTGTCTCCATTACAGTACTGCTTTTCTTCTTTTACGTCCCGCTCTACCCCGCTCTCTCTCGTACTCTCTCTCTACAGAGAGGTGGAGGGCAGTTTTTTGACGCGTCTCTGGGCGAGGAACGAAGACTCGATGGGTTTGAGTTCGGGGGTGGGCTGGGAACTCTTCAGAGCGGAGTAGGTGGCAGCCATCGCTCCCTGAGAAAGAGAAAGGTTATATATTATTGATAATATGCGTAAATAATGTATGACAACATGATGTAACTTTTACCTTTAACTCTGACTCTCAGACGTTCCACTAAAATAAACATGAATGAGCACTTCATCTGTATTCAGAGACTGAAAAAAGGGTAAGAAGGGTTAGCAGCTAACATTAGGGGTTTAGCAGCTAGGCTTAGAGCTTAGGAAGCTATGGGTTTAGCGGTTAGTCAGCTACGGCTCAGGCGTAGGCAGCTAGAGTTAGTGGTAAAGGGTGGGCACTTAGGGGATAGGCTGTGAGGTTTAGGGGTTAAGTAGCCATGGGTAAGGTTTAGCTGCTAGGTTGAGGGTTTAGGGAACTAGTGGTTAAGGTTAGGCAGCTAGGGTTATGGGTCAGGCAGCAAGCGTTCAGGCTTACGCAGCTAGGGCTATGGGTCAGGCAGCAAGGGTTCTGGGTCAGGCAGCAAGGGTTCAGGCTTAGGCAGCTAGTGTTAGGGGTCAGGTTGCTATGGGTAGGGTTTAGCAGCTAGGTTAAGGGCTTACACAGCTAGGCAGCTGGAGTTAGGGGTTAGGTAGCTAGATTTAGGGGTTAGGCAGACAATGTTAGGGGTCAGGCAGCTAGAGTTAGGGGTTAGGTAGCTATGGGTAGGGTTTAGTAGCCAGGTTAAGGGCTTAGCCAACCAGGCAGTTAGGGGCCAGGCAGCTAGAGTTCAGGGTTAGGCAGTTAGACTTAGGGATTACGCTTAGGCAGCTAGAGTATGTGCTCAAAGATAGGCACCAGAAATCAGTCAGCTAGAGTATGAGCTTACTGTTAGGCAGTTAGGGGATAAGCATGTAGTATTAGTGCTTAGGTAGGTAGAGTTAGTGCTTAAGGTTAGGCAGTTAGGGGAAAGTCAGCTAGAGTTAGGGGTTAGGTAGGAAGGATGGGGTTTAACAGCAAGGCTAAGGGCTTAGGCAACAAGGTTAAGGGCTTAGGCAGCAAGGGTTAGGGGTCAGGCAGCTAAAAATGAAGTGATTTTACTTACATTAATACAAATATCAACAGCAGCCAATACTCAGTATTAAATTGGGGGTAAATAAACTGGATAGGGACATGCATTGTTACTGGTTACTGATTAAGCCGCCAAATTTGGCCGTGTGCAGGCCTCAGCAGGGGTTTGGGTAGCATTACCTTCACCAGCTGTGCATCCTGGTGCTGCAGCTGGCTGTTGGGCAGTTGGTCTCTGTGCATGATCCAGGGGTGTTTGAGCACCTGCTTAGCCGTTAGCCTTTGATGAGGATCCACATGGAGCATTTTCGAGACCAGATCCTACAGAGAGAGAGAGAGAGAGAGAGAGAGAGAGAGAGAGAGAGAGAGAGAGAGTGAGAGTGAGAGAGAGAGAGAGAGAGAGAGAGAGAGAGAGAGAGTATAGTCACGCACAGAAAACAGACACAGTAGAGAGAGATTCAAATGTATGTGTGTGTGTGAAAGACAGTGATTAAGGCGTATGTCTGACCTTGGCTGCGTCCGACACTGCGTCCCAGTTGCCCCCGGTCAGAGTGAAGCGTCCGCTCCCTATCCGGCTCAGGATCTCCTCTGGAGTGTCCTCCGGACCGTTAGCAAAGGGAGTGAAACTGAAAAAGAGCGAGAGCGAGAGGTGAGTGCCATGTGTTCACATGCAGCATAATTAAATAACTACACTATTCATAAAATCAAAACTCATTTGTTTCAGACCAACCACATGGAAGATGAATCAGTTTTTTTCTAATATAAACTGAATTAACAGTGATTGATCACGTCATGTCTGTATTGCGATGTGCATTCTGCAGTGTGTGAGGAGTGTACAGACCCCGCTAACATCGTGTACAGCAGAACTCCCAAACTCCAGATATCACAGCCTTCATCATAGCCTTGCCTCTTCAGCACCTACAATACACAAACACACACACAGCGTTATGCAACGTTATGCAACATTACACATCCTAATTTGAGGCTCCTGCCTTTCTACACAGCCAGATGGTCACTGCTAAATCAAAGCCAAATCCAAAAAAAAAAAAGCTAAATCTCTTAAACACTTCAGTTCCTCACTCTCATAACGTACCTTACATATCAGTTTCATAGTACTTACTAAATATTCCATAGATGCTAAAAAAAATCATTACTAAATAAGTCATTAGTTACTAAATAACTTAAAGTAAAAACATTCATTTATAGTAGATGCTGAATGATTTATAGTAGTTCCTGAATAATTCATAGCAGATACTGTATAATTCATAGTAGATGCTGTATAATTCATAGTAGATACTGAATATTTCATAGTAGATACTTAAAAATTTATAGTAGTTCCTAAACAATTGATAGTAGATACTGAATAATTGATAGTAGATACTGAATAATTCATAGTAGACACTGGATAATTTATAGTAGTTCTTAAATAATTCATAGTAGATATGTAGTAATTCATAGTAATTTCTGAATAATACATATTAAAATTCAAGAGCAACACAAATCAAATTACAGAAAAATAAATGAGTACTTATCATGTGATATTTTATTTGTTTATCAGTAGTGTTAGATTAAAGTTATGCGCCGTGATGTCAGTATAAACCGCAGCCACGGCTTTAAGCCACTTTCATATTTCCAATAGGTAACAATAGACTTGCAAATGCTAGTTAGCTGACAGTTTTGTTCTAGCTAATGACTGCAGCTAACCAGCTTAACTAACAGAGCTAAGCTAGACACCTAAATAGCTAGCTATTAATTCAGCCAACACCAATGCTAGTCTAGCTAATATTACGTTACACACCACATTAACCCAGAACCCTGAAGAAGAGCGGAGAAGGTGGGGGGGGGGTTGAAAGGTCACTGGTGTTTTGTAATTAATAAGTGAATAATAAGTCTGCAGTTTAAGGGGTTAAAGAGAAGAAAGAGTGTCTGGACCTCTGGAGCAACGAAGTTAGCGGTGTAGCAGGGGGTCATCAGCAGACCGTTATCGGCACGAAGCTGCTTAGCAAAACCGAAGTCACAGATCCGCAAAGACTCTGGGTTGCCAGATTCATCCACGTATAGGATGTTACTGGGCTTCAGGTCTCTGTGCACCACCTACAGATGAGAAAAGGGAGGATCAGACATGCGTACACACAGGCTCCATCACAATCCAACACAGCAAAAGCAAGAGAGAAAAAACTTCAGGTAAATGAATCTGTGGACGAGTGTAATCAGCTAATGTTTGAGCAAGAGATGGACTGTGAGCTTCATCATCAGCTGATCCTCCCAGCCTCTCAGCACAACAGAAAACTTCAGAAAACAGCGCAGATTCTTCCAGATATCTAAACTCTCTCACTCCTGTTCTGACTGATGATTGGTCAGGGTGAGGGGAGAGGAGAGAAATTATATTATTGGTCAGTATAATTTTTCCTGCCCGGTGGAATAACTGACTCAATATAACGTCAGACGGTGTTTAGAGGCGGCAGGAATCACGACAGCTCCCTCACAGAAAGTTACATGAAATGGTTATGAATTCACTGCCTGATGTCTGACGCATTGTTTTACAGTGATTTTGTGATTTTGGTCTTAAACGTCTTGTTAACCTATTTATTTTAATCCAATCATGGTGGAGGGACACATGCAGGGCGCTGTGAGGCAAAATAGTCCCCAAAGAAAACTGATTATTTCAGATTTTCTACTCACTATTGTCCCATCATCAACATTCCATATAAAACCCCTCTGAACCACTCTGTTTACATCTTAAGGACTGAATTACGCAGGAATTTCGACAAATTGGTGGAATTCTCCTCTAATTAAAATGTAAGGAGTGAAAAGTATTTTATCCTGGAAATGAATATGTTTTTATCTTGGAAATGTAACTGAGTAAAAAGTACAAGTACAAGTGTTTACCCCCTGACAGTGCAGGTACTCCACAGTTTTGGTGATGGTGTGAAGAACAGCGCTGGCCTCTCGCTCAGAGAAGAACTTCTGTTTGAGGATTCGGTCCAGCAGCTCTCCGCCCCGCATCAGCTCCGTCACCAGATACACCTTCTTACCGTTATCATACACCTGGACAAACGCACACACACACACACACACACACACACAAATTATCACTTTAAGGCCAGTTATTCTTCCACACAGTGCTGGTGGTGTCTGTTTATTTGATGTTTATTTGTTTAAAATACTGATGGGGCTGTGTTGTTTATTTGTTTGATGTTTGTTTGTTTATACATACATCTTTCAGGGTGATGATGTTGGGATGCTGGCCGTACCGCAGCAGAATCTCAATCTCTTCAGAAGGATCAGTGCTCGTCTTATCAATGACCTACCAATACAAATCGTGTCAATAATCTTAATAACAAAAACACAAATTAGATCTATTATTATTTATAAACACAAGTCATATCTAGTGACAATCATCTATAAATAATAATCAACAATCTTAAGATAAATCATGTATTATTAATGACCAATATTATGAGCACACAACAATCATACTGTCAATCAACTATTAATTAACAATCATATTAATAAATATCAACTTATAATCACCTAAATGTACAGAGAAACTGTATGATGTATAATATGTATAATGAAAAAAATGTATAAATCACCAAAAGATATGTGTTTTAAATAGATATACATATAGCGTGTATAATATATTAAGTGTATATATTATATGTAACACGTTCTCAGGATATCATTCAATGAAATCAATATCTTGATATTCTACATTGCAATCCTTATATCACAGAAGTTAAATGAGCTCTCTAACAAATCACAGTGTTGTTTACTGTATGCTGTGCGCATCCTGACCAATCACAGCTCCAGATAAAGCTCTGTGGGTGTTTTGATGAATCAGGGCATTGAGGTCATCCAATTCAGTTATTTTGGTTAAAATAATGACATATTATTGATTCACCAATATGTTTATAATATGCTGAAGGATGTATTCTAACTGCAATATGCAGAAATATCATTTTAAGTAAGTATAGTATTATTTTGCCTATATTGTGTAATGTGTGCAAATTAAGAGTTATGCAGGTATGAAAGCCGAAACCCGACCTGGACGGTTCTGCTAAACCTGAACCTGAACTGAGACCAGACCCGACATACATCCATTTCTCTTCATACTTTGTTACCCTGTGGACCCCCCCACAGGACCCTCATAGAGCAGGTATTATTTGGGTTGGTGGGTCATTCTCAGCACTGCAGTGACACTGATGTAGTGTGTGTTGTGCTGGTACGAGTGGATCAGCAGTGCTGCTGGAGTTTTTAAACACTGTGTCCACTCACTGTCTACTCTACTAGACACTCCTACCTTGTCAGTCCACCTTGTAGAGACGATAGCTCATCTGCTGCCGCACAGTTTGTGTTGGTCATCCTCTAGTCCATCATCAGTGGCCACAGGACATGGTTGGCTGGATGTTTTTGGTTCTCAGTCCAGCAGCGACACTGAGGTGTTTAACAACTCCAGCAGCACTGCTGTGTCTGATCCACTCGCACCAGCGCAACACACACTAACACACTACCACCACACCACCACCACATCAGTGTTACTGCAGTGCAGAGAATGACCACCACCCAAATAATACCTGCTCTGTGGGGGTCCTGACCTTTGAAGAACAGGGTAACAAAGTATGGCGAAACAGATGGACTACAGTCTGTAACTGTAGAAGCACAAAGTGAAACTATATGGTCAGTAGAGCTGATAAAATGGACAGTGAGTGTAGAAACAAGGAATGTTGTGGCTGATCAGTGCGTGTCCATATGAGGCATGTATAAGTTGGATATAAAGGACATCCATCTATGTTAATATACATCATATATTTGAAGTCCATATGTTGCCATATATCAGATTTCTGTATGGGTAACATCAGCAAGGGGAACATCAGTGTGTGTGTGTGTGTGTGTGTGTGTGTGTGTACAGACCTTCACTGCGTATTCGGTGTTGGTGGCTTTGTGGATGCAGCGCTTGCACACTGAAAACGACCCCATGCCGATATCCTCCTTCAGCACGTAACCGTCGCTAAACACGATGCTCTTACCGTGCAGCTGCTGCTCAAACAAACAAAAATATATGTTAATAATTCACAATACACTGTTTCAAAACACAAACATTTCAAATTCCATGCTGTTGTTGATTACCTAAGTGTAAATAAGTTGCACATGCTCTACAGAGAACACGCTTCTGCACATTTTAATACACAATTACTGTTTATTTGCTGAATTTAGCAAAAATAAAAAAGTTAAAACATAAAACAAGGCCTGTGCAAAAGTTCTGGCACATTTCATATTTTAGTTTTTATTTTTTCCCAAAAATCAGCAGTATTACTGCTAAACTCTACTAAATCCAGACCCAGAGCACAATCAGTTCAATGCAACTTCACTTTCATTATACATATACATGTACAGTGTAATGAAATAGGTTCAGGCTACATTTCTAGGACCCTAAGTCTGCATAGGTAGCTTCTAGTCTTCATAACTTCAGAACGGTTTAAGCAACAGTCATGATACACATATCAGCAGACCTGCCCCAGCTAGCTAGTGTGTCGTTCATCAGGCTGTGATGTCAGCATCAGTGAGTAAATCGGCTTGGAAATTCACCCAAAATCCTGTTATTATTGCTCTGCTTTTTGGCCTTCATATTCCAATAAAGGGTTAAAACAGCGACATGATTCATACATCAGATCACTCCTCAGACTCTGGCCTCACCATCCAGAGTGAATTCATCCACCTGTGACTATCGATCACCCAGCAATCCAGCTCCAAAATCACCCATTATTATTAATTATACACTTATTATAATAAATGATTAGAAAATTAATAATATCTAGCTCTGTCTTTCAGTTTACATTGATTTTGAGTATTAAAAATATCTGATATTAAATGTACAACTCAATTCACAATTACCAGTAAAGTCCGTCAAAAATTAACCAAATTCATAAAGATATCAAATTTCTGTTAGCATTTACATGTCAAACAATGGCATATCTGAGTAGCCCAGGGTCCCCTGAAAAAAACAACATATTGCATGTGTGACTGTCACATGTAAATACTTTAAAATTGCAATTGTAATTTGAATTGACCCAAAATGCCAAAAAAATTCCCCAAAATTCTAGAGTTCTAAGGGCCAGTGCACCGTTTCTCAACCCTGGTCCTGGAGGCCCACAGTCCTGCACTCTTTACATAGACCGGCACGTGTCCACCAAACACAAAAACACAGCGTGGGATGTTCTCAGTACAGAACAGAACAGTCCAGATTAAAGAGAACAATAATATCACTAATGACGCATAAACAGGGCAGAGAGCAGCAAATAACACCAGATTAGAACCACTTATCTGGAACACAGCCACCACTCTCTGCTCATTAAGCTCTCAGCCTTTCACTCTGATCCACTCTAAAATGTTTTTGCATAATTTACAGTGATGGAAGAACATGTTCCTGCACTCCGTCTAGTGGTCAGTGACAGTAACTGCACCTTCATGCCTTTCTGAAGTGACAGAGAAACAGCAGAATCTGTCACAGTCTCATCAGGTCAAGTAAGATCCTTAAAATACAGTTTATACAATTATCATTGTATCCAGCTGTGGATTTGTGGATTGTCTAAGTGAAAATAACATCATCTACAGACTTCAATCTATTTATTTATTTGCTGAATTTAACACACTGGGAGAAAAATGAAAGCATTAAATATGGCCTGTGCAATAATTATGTTTTATTTTTATTGCAAATGTTAAATTTAGCAAATCAATAGAAATTGTGCATCAAAATTTGAATACAAATGCCATAGTTAAGTTCCCTGTGAAGGGGGCGTTAACTTATTTTCACTCAGAAAATCAACTGAAGCCGATCAATTCATACTGAGTTCAGTAAATCTCTATTAGACCTGTTTATGTGGTTTCTAACACTGTATGACGCAGTATATAACAATAATACCAAAACATTCAGGCTTCAGGACGGCAGGATTCACTAGACGTCTTCTCTGTTAGAGTTTACTGAGCATCTCACATGATTTGAGGCAAATGTATGATTTAGGCCTGGAATTAGCACCATAATTAGTGGAGTATTAACTTCTATTACTTGTTGGCTTCATTAGCCTCATAGCTCCAGTGCTAAAACTAAAGAAGCAAACTTTAGATACCAGGGACGCAAGAAGTGGGGGTGCTGACGGGGCTGCAGCACCTCCTGATTTTAGGATTGCAACTGCTAAAAACAACAACAACAATAATAATAATAATACAACTTTCCAAACTATGCAGCGTTATAGGTCAGTTCTGAGCCCCAGCAGCTTAATACTGTAAAACCTAAAAAGAGTCATCAAATGTTATAATGAAGCTTATATCAATATGCTTATGTTATATCTCCCACTCTGTGTGTGTGTCGGTGTTAAATCTCACTGTGTGATAGCAGGCGACACAATCAGTTACCACGCCACACATCGACAGCCTGATTGGTCGTCGCTCAGGTAATCTGCATGAAGTTTTGGTTGGTTGGTATAGCGTAGTGGGTAACACCTCTGCCTTCTACGCTGTAAACTGGGGTTCAATCTCCATCTGGGTAAGCACCCTACGCTATACCAATAAGAGTCCTTGGGCAAGACTCCTAACACTACCTTGGCCTAAAACGATCAAATTGTAAGTCGCTCTGGATAAGCATCCTCAACTCAAAACTCCAAACATGTCTTAGCTGATTGATTACATTTGGGGATCGAGGGGAATATTACTGTACGTATTTGTACAGTACAGCATATTTGATTTTTCGCAGAACTATCACTTCAACCTAAAACTCAAAAAGCAGCCAAATGAGTACAGGGGCGGAGTTGATGATTGACAGGCCACTGTCCACTGACCTGCACCACAGGGTGGGGGGGTGCCTGGACCGTCTCCTCAGCTCCCTCCTCCTCCAGCATCGCCGGGGCGACGAAACTAAAGCCACGGAACAGCTGATGAGCGCCAGCACTCGGGGGAACACCGGGGGAGTCTAACAACACAGTACGGTAATTAATATCACAATTTAAAAGAACAAACATTAATCAAAATTAAAGAAGAAAAAAATAAGAGTACTTATTCATACATGGAATACATTCTACTGAACTGGTTTAAAGTCAGAGCTGAAACACATTTGAGACTTTCAACTGATCTTGGACTCAAAATCCTTTTGCTTTGAGTGACTCTCTACCTTAATTATGTTTACTTTATTAAAACTAAACTTTATTAAACCTAAAATTCCATTTTGTCATAACTCTACCCAAACTTTACCAACTGTTTCACTAGTGACTGTTTCGGTGGTGACAATTTTAGCTCATTTTGAGCTCAAAAACGCAGCCGGTACATGACAAGCAAACAGAGTCCTCCCAATAGAAAGCACTCTATAAATGATGATTCTGTTATATTTAGCTTATTACTATCTCTATTAGTGTCTTGGGTTTAAATAGTTAATGGAAACTGAAACTGGGGAACAGTGACCACCGCCCTTTCAAACAGCACACACTCTTCTCAACTTTTTCAGACTTCCAACCTCCAGTTCATTGCACTTTAGCTTTATTTAGTCTGTTCTGATGATCAACCTCGACTGAGTAGTTTAGGATTTCCTAACTTTTTAACAACTAAGATCCAGTAAGATAAGATATAATTCCTATATTACCCCTCTGGGGTCTGAGGGTATTTTCCTGATTTGTTCATATCTTCTTAAACTCTCCTTTAAAGGCTCTTCGTATAACATGATACTCATGTTTCACATCAAAATGCTCCGTTATCTTCATCACTACTTTCCAAAACCACTGCAGCAACTTCAGCAGCTGTAAACTCTCTGCACGCCATTTCACACTGAATGAAGAATGAAGGGTTTCCGGTGTGATGGGTCAGTCCTTAGTGATTTCCTAAGTGTCCATCGGTCAGTGTCACACAGAATGTAGACGGACACACAAATCCACCAGTTCCACACAGTGAGAGGCAGATGACGTGTGTCTCTTTATAGCCTCATAACTCCGAATGTGAGTCACGTATGATCTCACGATCAGATGGAATGAAAAGAGCGACTCTACAGATTCAGGAAGGGTTTGAACTGTATTTCTGCACTGGATCATCACACAGATACAGAAACAGAAATAGAGACAGAGAATTTGACATGTGGGTGAGTTCGTGGACTCCAGGTGGTTAAGCTTTACTTCTGCAACACAACTTTGTGAAAAACTTTATCCTAAACGTAAGCCCTGACCATGACTGTCAGATCTTCAGTGAGGAAGAAAAGAGAGTTTCTATAATAGAACCTCTGTTCATGATTGTTTTGTCGGGTTCTCTCACCTTTAGGCGTGCGGGAGGTGAACTCAGAGTCGAAGTAGAACGTGTCATCGGGTCGAGCCACGGCCGGCCTGAATGGAGGCTTAATCTCCCTACGGAACAGTTTCTGAAACACAATAGAATGAGGTGAATATTCTCTCAGACGTCTACAGCTGCCTCTTAACCTGTCCGATTTTTAATAGATGACTTAAGCTCTTTAAACATCTGTAATTGGTCAGGTCATCACCATTAAGATTACACTTCAGCAGAGAAAAAGAAAAACTTCTAGACAACTAAAGCTGTGTTCACACAGCAGGTGAAAGTGGCCCAAATCTGATCTTTCTCTTCATATGTGACACAGATCAGTATGAACAGCAACAAACACACAAAATCTGACATTTTTAATTCTGATTTCGGACACTTTGGCTGCATTTACACAGCAGGTAAAAGAGGCCCCAAATCTGATTTTCTCCCCAAATCCGATTTTTGTGTTTGGCTGTTCACAATATCTTTTAAATGTGATCTGTATGCAACATCAGTCTGAACAGATCAGCTCTTAAACTGACCTGCATGCACAAAAACCGCTCTACGCTGCTTCACGCTAAACACAGTACAATTTTTCATACAGAAACATCAGCTCAAATGTTTATGAGATCTTAGCAGCACGAAATTATGACGAATGTGGAGCTGGACTGGCGTAAAAGTCGTATGGATTCCAATCTGGCTGTTCAAACTGAGTGGCATTGCTGCATATCAGATACATATAGGATTTCAGTATCACATATGAAAGCGTCTCAAATCTGAATTAAAAATGTCAGATTCACTGTGTTTTTTGCTGTTCATAATGACACACAGATAACACATCTGTGTCACATATGAAGAAAAAGATTTGGGCCACTTTTACCTGCTGTGTGAACAAAGCCTTTCATAGGTGGTACTGAAATCTGATACGTATCCAATATGCAGTAGTGGCACTCAGTCTGAACAGCTAGATCGGAATTCATGCGACTCTTATCAATCCAACTCAACGGTGATCAAAATTTCCTGCTGCTGAGACCTCATAAACATTTAGGCTGATGTTTCTGTACAAAACTTTAGAAGAGACTAATCCAAAACTGCTCTGTGTACAAAGAGATTTCGAAAAGAAATGGCCAAACGCGGCTGTAGGAGAACGAGGCTGTGAAGATGAAGCTGAACCCTCCGGGAGCGACTGGCGTTCGTTGGCAGTCATAATCGTTTACCTCTGGATGAGCCACATGAAGCAACGTGAAGCATTGTTCATTTGCCACTTTTACCTGCTGTGTGAACGTAGCCTCGCCTAAACGTCATCAATCAGTCAAAGTTTGGAGTTTGAAGTCCAAACTTTGTTTAGAACTGAAACAGTGAGGCCTGCTAACAAACACTAGAACTCAATAGTCACCCAAACAGCCCAAATCGTTCCTGTGAAAGCACGTCACCAAAACTCCCATCAACCTATTCATCTCTGTAGCTCACAATGAGTCATACCAACCACATCGACTTGTCTGCACACTTTAATAAAGACCAGGATGCGGTTTAAGCGAGTTCAGGGAAGTTTTGATGATGTATTTTTACAGAAATGATTTGGGCCATTTTGGTGACTGTTGCGTTCTAGCGTTTGTTGGCAACGTTAGCCTCGCAGCTCCAGTTCTAAAATAAATGAGGCAAAAATTGGACTCTAAACTGGCTCGAATGCATTTTGGGAAAGCCGACAGCTGGGTAAATCTCAAACAAATGTCGCCCAATTAGACAAAAATGGCACTGCTCTGTAAGAGCAGCTTCTAAGATAATTAATGTCCCTCCTAATTAGATCGTCAGCAGGACTGTTGTAGATTACAGCTGTCTTGTGTTGAATCTGAGGATCTAAAGGAACTGTGTCGAGTCGAGCTTCGTTTTAGCGGTTAGCCCCATCTCCAAATCAGAAAAACACTGGTGCTGATGAATACCAGGATTTGTTTTTACATTACTGTAAGGTCTATTTGTCCAGGACTTCACACTTCAAAAAGATGGTTCTTCAAGGGTTCTTTAGTAAAGGGAATGTTTTTATTTAGAGCCATGAGTTCTGTATAGAACTACTTCATGCATCGTTCTTTAGATTGGTGGCGAATGCATCATGGTTCTGTATAGCAAACCAAAAAGGGTTCTGTTACTGTGGTGACGTCAAGCTTTTAACAATAGAATTGAACATAACTGTGTACTATTACTGAAGGTGCTCAGAGTTTGATGAATTATAGGAGATTATTCACTCTGAAAGTATTACTTAGTCGACTTGTTAAAACTACAGACAATCCAGATTCATACTGGATTAAAACAGGGATTTATTATTATTAGTCATTTTTGAATCAGGATCACGAGGTGATGAGAACAGCTGTACAATCTTACATTCCAGTCGATGGTGGAGAAGAAGGCGTGGCGTTTGATCTCCTCAGCACCATCTGTCCCAGAACCTGCACACCAACAAACAAACAAACAAACCCTCAGAAAGTAAATTCATATTTCTGGTAACAGGTTAACTTTGTACTGTACAAACTGTTGTGCTGTGCAGATGCTAAATTACCGAGTCTGTTTATAGGATTTCTCTTAAATAGTGCCCTCAGCAGACTCTGAGCTTCAGCACTGAGAAACTGAGGCATACCCAACCTCGCTCTACCAGAGAGAGAGAGAGAGAGAGAGAGAGAGAGAGAGAGAGAGAGAGAAACAGAGAGAGGGAGAATAAATAAGAAATTAGCTAAATAAACAAATAAAAGATAAACAAACATTAAGTAAAGCAACATATAGAATAATAAGAGCCCATTCATTTACAGTCCTTGAAATGTTTATAATTTAGTTATTTTTAATTGATTTATAAATTCTTCACTCATTAGGATTGTAATTATCTGACCTTCCAAATTATCAACATTACTTTTCCTAATTTTTCAGTTTGATTTGTGGGTAAAAAAAATTCTGCATAATTTAGTGCTTACAGTGGTGGTGATAGGAACCAGGGGTCGCCATGACTACAACACAAACATAGATATTTTATTTACTGTCCAAAACCACCAGTGAACCTACACATGTCTTCTGAGTTTTATATGGAATGTTGATGATGGAAAATAGTGGAAAAACAGTGTCTCAGACATCAAGCAGTGAATTCATAACCATTTCATGTAGTAACTTTCTGTGAGGGAGCTTTTAGAGGTGGACGTCTGGTTCCTATCACCACCACTGTGAACAATTCTGACTCCGTACGTTTCTGTAGAACAGAGCGTTTCACACCAAACCACTCTGAACAACACTGTTTACATCTTATGCAGGAAAATCAGTCCTTTCAAATGTGCAGTGCTTACTTCAGGATCAGGTTCATGGTCTCCTTTCGGTCCTTTCCTTGGAACGGCAGAGACCCCGTCAGCATCTCAAACTGACAAAACAAACACAAACAGTGCATAGCACACAAAGTACAGCATTTTGAAAAGGTCAGATGAAAACAGGAAAGGTGTCCCTAAAATTTGACCAGCGGTGTAACTAGAGAGAGTCTTCCGTACCATCAGTACCCCGAATGACCACCAGTCGGCGCTGTGGATGTGCCCCTGCCTGTTGACCACCTCCGGGGCCATGTACTCCACCGTACCACAGAACGAATATGCCTTCTTCTCGTGATCTATGGCCTCCTTACACAGACCGAAATCTACAAAAAAAGCACAGACACCTCTGTTATTTTTTAATTCATTTTTATTTTACTGAATCATCATGACCTCTCCAGGGTGTATCCTGCCTTCCACCCAATGACTGCTGGGATAGGCTCCAGCTCCCCCCTATGACCCAGAAGGATAAGCAGCTTAAAAAATGTGTGTGTGTGTGTGTGTGTGTGTGTGTGTGTGTGTGTGAATCATCATGCTTACAGTATTTAAACTCTGTAAATATTGTAGTAATACTGAAGCAAAAGGGTTAAAATCTTAAAACACCAAACAGAAAATTATCCAATCAGGATTGTTCCCTCTGTGATATCTAGGCAGATACAGCCAAGCGAGCTCTCCCATTGGTTAGAACTTCAGGAGCTAGACTGAAGGCCTTACATGTTAGATTAACTACCAACATAATTAGGAACTCACAGAGGAATCAGCCAATCATGATTTGGGACCAATTTAGAGAGAAAAAAAGTCACTCTGGTCCTTCTGGAAGTTCTTGTCACATCACTGACTGTGAATATGAGCTATCGTCTGTGCAGGTTCCGGTTAGTTGTTAGGAATGTAAAACAGGGGCGGCAGATCTATGCCAGAACTACAGTTCTTTACTGAGTCATTGTAAAACTGATACATGCAAGCTCAGATACATGCAAGCTTCAAACAAAACATACTGAATGTCCTATACAAGCTTCAAATATCTGTGTTTAATCTAGAATGGTCAAAAAAATGTTAGTGTAAACCAGCGTTAGCAGTGACTTTATCAGAAACTCCCAGAGGGGCAACAAAAAAGTTGTTTTTTGTTCTAGTTTGATCAGGTTTCGACACTAGAGGCCTGAACTGGAGGCCTGACTTTAAGAGTCAGGTGTGTGTGGGTTACCTGTGAGTTTGATGTGTCCTTCTTCGTCCAGCAGTATACTGAAACAGAGCAGTGAGCTACTGTTATCCACAGGAAATTTACTGCAATGTTTGTAAAACAGCTTCATGCAGTTGTTTCACTCCAACTGCATTTTATTGTTTATATATACAATTTTTTACATACAAAACATACACTGCATGCTCATTCTTATCGTTTCAGTGATGCTTTCGTAATTCTGTAAGTCAATTTGCTCACATCAAATTAACCTTCACTTAACTGAACAGATTTTTCCCCCCATTTAGTCAAAAATGTCAGACAAAGAGGGAGAGAGAATGACTGAGTGAAAGAGTGAATAGGTGTGTAATTCAGTGAGTGAGTAAGAGAGTGGAAAAGTGAGTGAGTGAGTGAATAAATGAATGAGCAAGTGCACGATTGAGTGAGTGAGGGAGGGAGTGAGTAAGAGAGTGAACAAGTGAGCGACTGAACAAGTGAGTGAAGGAATGAAAAAATGAATGAATGAATAAACGAACGAGTTCAGTACTTCTCAGGTTTGAGGTCTCTGTAGATGATGCCCAGGCTGTGCAGGTGATCCAGACCCAGAGCTAACTCAGCCAGGTAAAACTTCACATCCTCCTCCGTAAACATCACCTGACAACACACACGCACACACACACACACACACACGCACACACACACACGCGCACACACACACACACGCACACACACACGCGCACACACAGAAGCTGCGAGTTATTTTCAGAAGCATACATCATATCTTAGTGTATGACAGTGTATATAATAGTCCAGTATTGATTATATTTTAGTATATACTATAATGCAGTACAACAATATATTATATAGTAAATATTAGCCAAATTTTGAGTATGCACTGTATGTTAGTATACAGTTTAGCTGATATACTACGTATTAGTAAAGTGCTGTGTATATACTGTGCATTAGTATGTAACGTAGTGTATATTAGTATATGATACAAGTATAATACAGTATATAGTATTATCGCTGTTGAGTATATATTCTGGCAGCCTTCAGTTCCCATCTCTGGTTTCACTCTGTTGTTTTGGTGCAGTACCTCTTTTGAAAGCCTAGTGAAGAGATCTCCTCCACGCAGGAAGTCCAAAATCAGATACAGTTTACCCTCCGTCTGAAAGGCTGATCACAAACACACAATTTATTTTAATCTTCCTCTTGGTGTCTGTAATATTGCCGCATTTAGAAGCAGATAAACAGCTCGCAGTGAGAGCTAGTCAGCAAGTACAGCCTGCACACGGAGGTGGGGGGGGTTAGTTTAACACACTGTTACGACCCCCTGTTTAAGACCCCCAAAGCAAACAATGAGAGAACTCTATCTCCCCTAATATGCATACAAAACAGGTCAGTAACTTATTAACGCAAAATGTATAAAAATATAAATTACGTTTTTGCTCTGATATTTCCGTTTCTACTTTTAAACTTCTACTTTTTATTCACAAATTCATCAGAAATGTACTATAGATATATTTCAGTTTTATTGCTGATATTTTCCTTTGTCGTTTAAAAAATAAATTAGTGTTTTACAGCCTCTTGTCACTGACTGTATTCCTACATCTGGTACAAACAACACAGAACTATAATATAATTGTATCAGACATCATAGAGGCTGTTTCAACTCGCCCCTCAGTCTGTTACAGTGGAGATGTGACATTTGCACTTATTTACTTTTATCTGAATCGTTTGGAAACTTTAGATGCTGGAAACAAAGCTTGCATTTTAATTTTACAGCAGAGACATGTAGGTTGCACATACAGAAAAACGAGGTCACACTTTATTTGTATGGTCCCCTATAGATGATCTACAGCAGGGATCGGCAACATGCGGCTCCTCTGCTTCCCTGTCGCGGCTCCGCAGCAGGATCCTCTTTTGTAGTAAAATAAAGCTCTGCTGATCGCTCTAACACAGTTTTAGGAATAAATGGTCTTAAACACTTAAGTTAATGAAGCCTATATCTGCTAAATTACCAAACTTTAAGCTTGAAGATCAGCACGCAGACTGCTGGTCACCATAGCAACAACAACAATCTCGCCTAGCTAGTAGCTAAAGAAAAGGCAAAGAGAAAGATTTAAGACGAACATTGATCATTTGGAAACTAATGGACCTGTTTGTGTTTATAAGCTCTCAGCTGGTTTCCTGATACGTTTAATTTGCACAGAGAAACTATCAAACTCTAAAAAGTGACTAAGCTGTTTTCTCATTCACCAGCTTCTCGTTTGAATTCTCCTGTTCCACTTTAAATAGTGCAGCAGTTACATTCTGGCGTCTCAGGCATCATTTAAGGTGGAACGGGAAAATCAGAACAAGAAGCTGGGGAATGAGAAGCGACTTCAGCCTCGAACAAATCGAATGTTGAGAGACATTTTATGAGAAACTGTTCAACTTTTGAGGAAAAGTTTCCTGCCAGAGATGGGAGAAAAGCAGCTACAGCTGAGCTAAAGCTTAAAGCAGAGCAAAGTAAGTCTGTGTTTTCATTTACATTATATTCTTTAGCCTATAATAGCACATTAGCACATACTGAGACACATTTACAGCCAAGATTGTAAAATGGACATAAAATGTTGTGTTGTCTCCCAAGGTGGTTCGATTTTTTGTTGAAAGGACAAAATGGCTCTTCTTAATGTTTAGGTTGTCGACCCCTGACCTACAGATACTTAAATCATTAACAAAATTTCTGGTGATGTTCAGTTGATTATCAACAATATTATTAGGGTTAGGGTTAGGTTTAGGAGTAGGTGTAGGTTTTGCCTTGAGGATACAGATTTGACAGAATCTTCTAACTCGACTTCAAGTTCAGTTGCATTTAATAGATATTTATTTGAATCTTACATAAAGATCTGCACTTAAAGCAACTTAACGCATCTACAAAGCTTTTACAGTGGACCACACATTACACTGCTCCCTGCTCTCTCCCACTATATCAGCTGCTAAGTGCACTAATGCATCCTTTTCTCTTGTTTTTATCAAGCGTTCTGTGTGTAAACACCACTGAGAAGATAAAATGATAAGGAAAGAGAGGAGAAAGCAGCACTCTTACTGACCGTAGTGGAGTTTGACCACAAACGGGTGGTTGACCTCTGCCAGAATGTCCCGCTCCATCTTGGTTCGGACGCGATCTCTCACTAATGGGAGACAGAAACAGCAAAATAAGCAAAAAATCAAAAAGCGGATGAACAAAAATCTGTTAACCTTTTAACTGTAGCCCCATTTCTTCAGAATACCAAAGCAAAAGGGGGCGCTGTTCACACATGCTTTGGGCTACAGTCATGATCGGTCTCATTTGAAAGGAAACACTCTCAACGTCAGAATAACTGTATGAATTAGTGACACAGAGTAGCAGAGTCAAGAACGGAGGAGTTTATTTTGGCTTTGAAGGTTGGGGGACACGATTCGATAGCGTTTGCTTATTCAGTTCTCATGTTGCAAATGAGACGATCGTAACTGCTGTTAATGACGGATGATAAAATGGTTTGTGGGAGTCGAACCCTGAGATTTCAAGTTTTCTAAGGGTGTATTGCATCAACGTATTGCTGCAAGATTTGATGCATAAAGATCAGTAAAGTGATCTAGAAAAGGTTAACTCTCCTATTCCCTGTTGTGCACATCATCAGACGGTTCTTCTTGCTTAGAATTTATGATCAATTATTTCCCACACAAGCGGAGAAATTGTGTGGAAAGTGCAGATTCTAAATTGTCAATCCATATTACTTTGGTGCTCATATGTAGCAGAGATTTTATTGTTGCTGTATGAAAACAAAACAAAAAAAAAAAACGGCAAAAACTTTCTTTACTTTTGGTGAAATAAGATTTTTTCCCCCCATGTAATTTTAGACCAATTTTGTTAGCCCTTTGCTCTATGTCAGGATTCGGCTACATGCAGCTTCGGCTCCACAGCAGAATTAGATTTGTAGGTAAAAACAAAATAATCCTCCTTTGCAGTAAAATACAGCTCTGCTGCTCATTCTAACACAGTTTTAACAATGAATGGTCTTAAACGCTGGAGTCAGTGTATAACTGCTAATTCACCCTTTAACCCTAAAGGTTGGCGTGCAGACTGCTGGTCACTATAGCAGCGCAGACAACAATCTCGTCTAGCTAGTAGCTAACGAAAAGGCAAAGAGAGAGATTTAAGATGAACATCAATAATTCAGAGACAAATGGACTTATTTGCATTTATAATCACTTCAGCTCGTTTCCTGATACGTTTAATCTGCAATGAGAAACTGTCGAACACTACAAAGTTCTGAAGCTGAAGTCAGTTTCTCATTTGCCAGCTTCTTGTTCGAATTTTTCCGTTCCACCTTAAATGGTGCAGCAGTTACACTCTGCGCCTCAGGCATTATTTACGGTGAAACAGGAAAATTTGAATGAGAAGCAGGCGAATGAGAAGCGACTTCAGCCTCAAAAAAAATGAACATTAAGAGACATTTTACAAGAAACCGTTCTACTTTTGTGGAAATGTTTCCTGCTGGAGATGCGAGAAAAGCGGCTATAGCTGAGCTAAAGCTTAAAGCAGAGTCAGTGCTTTTGTTCATGTTATATTTTTTAGTCTGTACTAGTACATTAGCACATATTGAGACATTTTTGCAGCTAAGATGGTTAATGGACATAAAATTTTGTGGCTCCCAAGGTGGTTTGATTTTTGTTGAAAGGACAAAATGGCTCCTCTTAACATTTGGGTTGCCGATCCCTGGTCTATGTGAACATTTCATGATGAATCGACCAGTAGAAATTGTTTAAAATGACCATGGAATAAAACCTTGTCACATTAATTTACATTAAAGACCATCTCCTAAAAAGCTACTTTTAAAGAGATAAGAGGTTTTGCTCCAGCAGTGACTGTATACTGTGATATTTAACGCAGTGGAACCTTAACATTGTGTCCAATGCATCTTTTTTTTTTTTACATCCTGATAGCATAGGAAGAAGAAATTAATTCCTTGAGTAGCTCTGATTGGTCAGTTTTATTTGTAATAGATCCATACAACACAGAAAAATGAACTGGCTCAGATCTTATGGAGTGTTACAGGCTGTCTGGTATTCAAGCCACTCCTGACCGAAAACCAAAAGAAAGCATTTATTTTATTTATTTGCCACTTTATTTATGCCTTTATATTATGTTTTCATTTACGATGTTGAATAAATGTACTAAGCTTGAAAAACCTACAAGTTAATAAAGAAAGTATACTGTATTATAAATGAAATCAGCTTTCAGACACTTTATTATGTGTTAGATGTTGACTTTGTTGAATACATTGTTGTCATATTTCATCCTTTGGGTTTTTTTTTTTGTCTAAACTTTTCCACTTAGAAGTGCATTTTTAAAAATTTTGTGCCAAAACGTTTCAGTGGCTGAATTTTTTGTGCATTTAATTCCGACTGTGTGCAGTGAAACTTGGTGGTGGATGTGGAATTAGTTTCAGCATTCATCAAAACAAACACGCGTTTTGGCTTCAGTCCAGCCAACAGACGTCAGTCCATTCTGAGGTCCACGATTTGAGCGAAACTCAAAACAAACCATCTAAATGTGCAAAGAACAAAAGTAGTACAGATAGAAGAGCAAAGATGAAGGAGATGAAGCTGCTGCTAAAAACCACAAACAAGTTTCTGTGAAGGAAACTAAACGACAACTGAAGAGACTGAAACCGCACAGACACACAGCTGTGTAACCGCTCACTAGTGCCATTTGAGTAAACAACCTGCAGGAGAGAGAGAGAGAGAGAGAGAGAGAGAGAGAGAGAGAGAGAGAGAGAGCGAGAGAGAGAGTGCACAGGGGAGAGAGAAAGAGAGAGCACAAGAGAGAAAGACAGAGAAAGAGAGAGGTAGAGAGATGCAGGGGGGAGGGGGAGAGACAGAGAGAGAGAGAGAGAGAGAGAGAGAGAGAGAGAGAGAGAGAGAGAGAGAGAAAAAGACAGAAAAACAGAGAAAGAGAGAGAGAGAGAGAAGACAGAAAGATAAAGGAAAGAGAGAAAAATAGAGAGTGAGAGAGAGAGAGAGAGAGAGAGAGAGAGAAACAAAAGAAGCCAAAAAAATAAATCAGACCACAACAACAGAGAGAGAGAGAGAAATAAGAAAAAGAGAGAGAGAGAAAAACACGGTGTGTGTGTGTGTGTGTTTATGTGAGCGTGGGAAACAGTGTGCAAGTGAGAGTGTGTGGGTGGGTGTGGGTGTGTAAGGATGTGTGTATGGGTGGGTTTTGAGTGTTTGAGCACGGGAGAGACTGAAAGTGTATGTGTGTGTGTTTTAGTACAATGTTTCTCAACCTTTCCCACCCTGAGGCCCACCTGTTTATAACTGTAAAGCACAGCAGCCCACAGAAAAACAACATCAACTCTATTTAAAATAGTTTTCTTAATTGCTCACACTGAACATCTGTAAAATTAAAAACATAACGTGTTAAAAACCATATGTTTGCAGAGATGTCAAAAAGGGGGAAGGTAGATGTAGATGTGAGCTGTGTCCCAATTCATGGGGCTGCATCCTTCAGAGGCTGCATTTGAAGGCCAATTGCGTCACAGTGGCGACTAGACTGTCCCCTTTCGAAGGCTCCTTCATATACAGCAGAGAAATGTGTCCTTCTTTTCCATGGCAACGAAGGATTCAACGAGTGGATCCTTCACCAGCCAACATATCCTGAGGTTCATTGCGTGTCGGCGAGGATTCGAGAACATGGCAGTGTCAGCAGAGGAGCGAACGGCGGCTGAAGAGACACTTTAAAATGTAAGCATTGGATTTAAACCGAGTCGAATAGCTAACGATACAAATGTTAAGCCAGTGTGGTCTGAAGCTGAACTTACGCCAACGTGCTGGTGCCGGCTGTGAAGCATCTCCAGCTCTAATAAATGAAAAAATAAACTAAAATCAAAGTTTCTGGCTCCATCAAAGAACTTTAAAAGAACTTGACAGGAGCAGCGTTTAGTGATGTAACAGTAAGGGCGGGAACAGCAGTGGTGTGACGCAAATCGGAAATCCGCCAGAGAGCCGAGGGATTCAGCCCCTGAATTGGAGTGTGATTTGGTGCTTCAGTCCATCACGTCTTTGATGTAAATACTCTTGTGTTACAGGAGTCACTGTTTGGTCTGGAGCCTCTTTAGTTTTGAGGGTTTTAGCCCCTCATTTGAAATAAACCTCACTCCACTCAGTGAACTTCTGGATTAGCTGGAAAAGCCTGCTATGCTGTTTGATGAAGACCTAAATACGGGTGGAGTGCTCACTCATGTCAAAATGGAGCAAACTAAAGAAAGAAGAAAGAACCTAATAATGTTTCATTAGCGACCGAGATATTTTTATTTGTACGTTTCTGTTAATTATTATTTTGATTATAACTGGAAACATTTGATTCTTGGATTTTTAATCATTAGGCCTCAGTAATCTTTTTTCTATTTATGTTTTAGGACTTGAAGTGCCATTACCAGCCCACTATGAACTACTGCCTCCCCCTGAGTACAGGCCTGCGGACCACTAGTGGGTGCTTCATGGCACACTGGTGGTCTGTTGCCCTCAGGTTGAAAAAACCTGTTTTAGTACATATGTGTGTCTGCATCTGTGTGTGTGTGTGTGTGTGTCAGTATGGTAATAACCTGATTATTATCATATTTCTGCCGTTATCTGACTATTAAGTGGCCGTGTAAACAGCACACTCTGATTTCATACATCAGATTAAGGTCTAGAAATCTGAAAGAAATCTGATAAAGAGGCTGGATTTGAGCTCAGTAATGGGCTCAGTGCTGTCCTGGAAACAGTGAGCAGCGTTTAACACAGCGTTTAATGCGGCACCCACAAGACGCAGCACAGCACATTTGGAGTGACGGTGAAACCGACTACATACTTGACGAAATAAAGAATTTAAATATTCTTCATCTTCTAGATGATGTAAGTTCATATTTTCCTGTAAAGTGACTCAATGTTTAAAAAAAGCTGCAACATGAAGTTTGAGTTTTACGTTGCGTTTAGATCACGTCTTGTTCTGTGAGTTTATTGGCTGGCTGTAAAGCAGACATTGGATTTACTGTCTGACTCATGTCGGAAAATGCTGAACGGAATAACTGACAAAATCTGTTTCAGTATATGTGGGTGAAGGGGTGTGTGTGTGTGTCAGTGTACATGTATCACATAACGAGCACACACTGTTACAACCCCCGGTCGGTTACTTTTCTCTGTCTTTCTGTGGACATTTTCTGTGTTTTCCCTTTTTTTTCTATGATGTGCATGTCTGTGATTGGCCACACGGGGGCGCGCTGAGGTATAAGAGGTCGCCGAGCCACCATCTTGAGAGGTGTTTAGGGCTCTTTCCCCTCTGGCTTGACCTGGACGGAGCACCTGTCCAGACCAGCCAGAGAGCCCACTATCATTCTCTGTTACGGCTTGACCCTGACTATTGGATATTGCTAAAAAGATTAAAAATAATCATAACAATCCAAATCAATGCAGCTGCATCATCACTTACAGATCAGTGCAGTGATACACTGTACACTCCGTGTGAGAGTGTGTGTGTGTGAGAGAGAGTGTGTGTGTGTGTGTGTGTGTGTGTGTGTGTGTGTACCTTTCAGTGTGGCCTTCCTGAGCACCTTCATGGCATAGAGCTGGTTACTGTCGGGGGGTGTGACCTTCCTCACCAGAAAAACCTGCATAACGACACACACATACAATAAAATTTTCATTTTTAAAGCAATGAATTAAAAATAATGAAATAACAATAATGTCTAAAATGAAAACTTTAACTAAGTCCACATTCAGTTTAATCAGAGTTTGTGCTTGACTGGAACAGATGATTACTGTCAAATGCAACAGGCTGCATGTTTCAAAACGTGTTAACTGTGCATGCAAGTGTGTGACAGCACGTCTGTCTGTAGCGAGTTTATGTGCAATGAGCTGAATCCATCTGTGAAAATTAAACTATCATGGACTCCAATTATAAACCACAGCAGGAGGACAGACAGACAGCGAAGGATGCTAGCTAACCAGCGGCTTTATGTTAGCTAACCTGTGGAATGCTGGTAGCTAATGTGTGTAATGTTGTTAGCTAACTAGTTGAATGCTGCTAGCTGACCTGCGGAATGATGCTTGCATAAGCACTGAATGACGTCAGCTCAGTGCGCAGCAGTGTAAGGCCAGCTTTGCATGGTTGCATGTTGCAAGTTGCCTGCAACATCATTTCTGTGCGACTTAAGTTACACGCAGCAATTCAAAAACGACCAAAGCTGCATCTAACACGTTCCATTACTCCAAATTAACAGCTCACATTGTTGGTGCACTGTACCGTTTTCACTCTTTATTAATTTGCACCATTTTTATAGCCCTCATAAAGCGTCAATTTGTCCAGATTTCACTGCTGCTCTTTACTGTTTATACCTGTTTTTTGATCGCGATTACTTCGCGTGTGCTCACCTTGCCGAAAGATCCCTGGCCCAGAACCTTGAGCAGCTCGAACTGGGACGGGTCTGCTTTCTCCGCCCCCTCCTTAACCACATTCGTGATGTTGATCTCCTTGATGACATCATCGTCCTGCATCAGGAAACACAAAGGAGAGAGAACACCCCATCAAACAGGACACGTGTGAGCTCTTCAACATGTGGCCAAAACTCTCTGTAAAAGGAGAGTCCGTTCATTACCACTATGAACACTTCATCACATCTAACACTAGATCTTTGCTCTCTTTTGCAGCTTTAATAGCATAATAACATTCTCACGCTCATTCATAGCTAACCAAAACATTTATACGGTCCCACAGCATTTCCACAGAAACACAATATCCTTTCCGTCAACTTATTAGTGTTACCTGCCTTAAATCCCCTTAAATCTGTACATCGTATCAACCTGGAAAACCTTTTCATTAAGTGGTTTTTGAGATAACGCTGTAGCGCTGCTACAGAATGCAGGCAGGAGGAGCTGATGAATGCTAAACCTACTGAGAAACTGTAGAACAGACAAAGTTTATATCACAATACCTACACACTAAAAAAAAGGACAGTTCTTCAAGGGTATTTTAGTAAAGGCAATGGTTCTATTTAGGTTCTATTTAGAACCATGAAAGCTATACAGAACCATTTAATGCTTAGATGGTTCTTTGCATGGTGAGTGGTTCTTTAGTTTGATGAGAAATATGCTGTATATGATTCTACATAGCACCAAAAAAGGTTCTTCTATTGTTACAATCTGACATCATAACAATACCAGAACCCTTTTTAGTGCTATCCAGAACATATACACGTATTGTGTTATAAACTGAGTCTGTTCTACAGTTTCTCATTAGGTCAAATGAATAACTGACTAAATGTAGGTATTGTGATATAAACACAGTCTATTACACAGTATATATATTTATATGTGTAAATATATTACCTCTGTAAATCTGTGGTACGTTTTGATGAATCTGAGCATAAAAACATTCAAAAATGAACTATTTTCAAGGTACATTGGGGATATTTTATGAAGAAATCTCTGATTGTTTACTTTGGGAATCTTAGTTGTAACAGTGTGTTAAACTAACCCCTGTGTGGAGGCTGTACTTTAGCCTGACCAGTTCTCACTGCAAGCTGTTTATCTGCTTTTAAACACGGCAATATTACAGACATGAGGAGAGATTAAAATAATATTATATAATAAAATAATAATATTAATTGATAAAATAATAATAATATAAGAGCGAAATCTGTCAATTCATTATAGGGCTGGACAATATGACAACATTATTGTGATAAATTATGTCACAATACAGTACAGTATGCTTTTCTGAACATATTGTGTATATCATCAGTAAAATTGGTCACATTTAACTGATTTAGTGCCCAATACTGAATAAAGATCATTGCATTCTCAGTTTTTGACAGTTTTTTTTATGTAGCACTCCTGGTTCTTTTTTCTCAGATCAGATGTCTGAAAAAGTAAAAACTGCGACATACTGTGTATGGTGAAACTTTCTTGAAGTATCACAATATTATATTTTTGCCATTTTGGCAACCTCTAACCAGTGGTGGACGAAGTACGCAAATCATGTACTTGAGTTAAAGTAGAGATACCCAAGGTAAAACATTACTCCAGTAAAAGTAGAAGTTCCTCCCTTTAGACCTCCACTTGAGTAAAAGTACAAAAGTATTTGCCTTCAAATGTACTGAAGAATTGAAAGTAAAAGTACTAACAGATTAATTATGAACTTAATTGTGCTATTATATTTTTTGTAACAAGATTCTTGCTTCATTAACTCATTTTAGGTGAAAATACTCCAGTGTCACTCTTGGTAAACCAATCTTTTAACAGAATGTCATTAATTATTCTGTCACTGATGTCTATTAAAATGATCATAAGCACAAAACACTGAAGGCAAACAGTTTCCATCAGGTAGAACTGAGTGGCTCTGAAATAACTTTTCGCAAACAAGCAACGTTTCAGTTTAAGATTTATTTGCAACTTAGTTATAAAAACTTTAATAAAAACTTTAAACTCAGATTCACAAATGAGTTTCCTTTACTATATTACATCTGTAGGTCTCTGTTCATAACATAAACTAGCCAAAACAAATTTACTATAAAATGAAATGTGTTTGTATAAATTCAGAAAAAAGACACATCAGTCACAACTGCATATGAGTACATATTTCTATATTGTGATCTATTTACACAAAGTTAGGTTAGTTCCATCGTTTATGTTGGAATAGACACTCCCAAAATTTTACTCTGCTGCACTGATGTTGAACCGTATGCTTGCACTGGGTCGGTATGTCCAACACTTCAAAACAAGCTCAAAACAAAGTGCGTGCTGTGCCCTGATTGGTGTTCTTGCTTCACGCTTCTTTTGTTTTGACATGTTTCATTTTTATACACACATAAGCCAAAAGGAACAACAGATTTTGCATAATGTAGTGGAGTAAAAAGTGAGATATTTGACTTTGAAATGTAGTGGAGTCAAAGTAAAATGTCACCCCAAATGGAAATACTTCAGTTCAGATACATGAAAATTGCTGAAGTACAGTAACGAATTACATTTACTTAGTTACTGTCCACCACTGCCTCTAACTCACTAATCATAAACATATATGACGGAAAAAATGACTTTAATGGTATAAAAACAGTCTTGAGAATCAATCTGGAGAAATATCTGTTTGACTGCTGTCAAAATACACAGATGATGTTGCTATGGGAACGGGAGAACATGACTAAAAGCATGTTCTACTGGCGCCTGCGTAACTACATTAAAACGTTAGATTGTGACTCCCCTACACAGCTCATGGGTGGGCTTTACAACTGCGATTCCAATATAGAAATGCTTAATCTATCAGCCTGTTTATCAGTAAAACATACAGAATTAACATGTAAAACCATCACACTCGCATACAGGAACCGGCAGAGGAACTCCACCTCACAGCACGGTTACGGGAAACACACCCACTTCACCCGCTTTTAAAACCACAGCGTCAACTCGCAGCTCAAAATACACCACACTGCAGAGGGGCATTTACATATGCATTCCCACCAGCAGCGTCTACTGCTCCACACTATTTTAGACCAGTTTCTGACCACAGGGCTGCTGCTGTCCAGATATTATGTGCGTGGTGGTCCATTCTCATCACAGCGGTCACACCAACCAAGCAACAACGGCTAAATATTTAACAACGCTACTAACTACAAGAGACTAGCTGGTTAGCATTAGCTTAGCTACTACGCTACCAGCTCTTCTCACTACAAGAAAAGGTTAATTCTGGCCTAAACTAGTCTTTGCTGGTCTAAGCTAGTCTTTACTGGTTTCTGCTGGTCTAAGCTAGTCTATACTGGTTTATTCTGGTCTAAGATAGTTAATACTGGTTTATGCTGGTTTATGCCAGTCTATACCGGTTTATGCTGGTCTAGTCTATACTGGTTTATTCTGGTCTAAGCCAGTCTATACCGGTTTATGCTGGTCTAGTCTATACTGGTTATTCTGGTCTAAGCCAGTCTATACCGGTTTATGCAGGTCTAGTCTATACTGGTTTATTCTGGTCTAAGCTAGTCTATACTGGTTATTCTGGTCTAACCTAGTCTATACCAGTTTATGCAGGTCTAGTCTTTACTGGTTTATTCTGGTCTAAGCTAGTCTATACCAGTTTATGCAGGTCTAGTCTATACTGGTTTATTCTGGTCTAAGCTAGTCTATACTGGTTTATGCAGGTCTAGTCTATACTGGTTTATTCTGGTCTAAGCTAGTCTTCACAGGTTTATGCTGGTCTAACCTAGTCTATACTGGTTTATGCAGGTCTAAACTAGTCTTCACTGGTTTATGCTGGTCTAACCTAGTCTATACCGATTTATGCTAGTCTAACCTAGTCTATACTGGTTTACGCTGGTCTAAGCTAGTCTTTGCTGGCCTAAGCTAGTCTATATTGGTTGACAAGCATACCAGCATCTGAAAGACAGCATACACTGGTTTTGCTGTTTTTCTAGCAGGGTTAAGAGAAGGACAACAGAAGAGTACAATCAGATCAAGCGTCTTTAAGCAGAGAGCAGCAGGACGTCATACATCATACATATGGAAATCAATGTTAATGAATTTATCAGTATCAGCCAGCAGTCATGAGTTTCGATGAGTTCTGAGTACTGAGTTAGTGTGAGGGTTTAGGGTTGTGGGCAGCACATACAGCTGATAAAGTGTTGCTGCTTTACAAAGCATCTGCATCTGAGCTCCAACATCACCCACTTCCTCCAGCGTGTGGACTGGTCGATGACTGCTCCTAAAAACGGCGACCCACTGGAAATCTGTAAAGCTGGACTTTGTGTGGAAGCCCATAAGTGACCGTCACAGTGGGACAGCGTGTGTTTTTGGGTCAGTAAAGCACAAAGTTGACAGACTTGAGAAGCTGACCATATTGTTTCTCTTTCACTCGTATCGCTGACACTGATATCACTTTAAAACCACACGCTCTGAAAGAGTCAAAACAAAGCCCAACAACTTCACACATCCAGTTCAGAAGTTCTCCATTACAGAGGCATAAGTGAAAAACACAAACAAAAGTATAAAGAATAAAAGTATAACGGTACAGAAAAGGCATAAAGCAGAAATAAAGGCATAAACTATAAAGTATAAGTATAAAAACAAGTATGAATAAAAGTATATAAAAGGCATAAACTATTATCAAACGTATAAACAAGCATACATAGAAGCTCAAGGCATACACAAAAGACACAAAGTATAAATAAATTTGTAAACAAAGGCATAAATTATAAACAAAAGTATAAACTACAAAATAAAAGTATATCCACCGACAAAAATAAAGATAGAGATAAAAACTCCAGGCGATTAAAAGCATAAAGTATAGTGTTAACAAGGCCATAATTAAAAGTGTAAGCAAAGCCATCAGTAAAAGCATTAATAAAAACAGCACTCCTGTTTGTTTAAAAGCAAAAACTCAACAAATAATGCAGGAATATTAATGACACACTGTCACTGCTGACACTACTCATAACAACCTACTCAACTTTTCAAAGAAAACCTTTCATACTCAGTGAAGATCAGCGCAAAGTTCAACACCTTTTAAAGACAGTAAACACCCACAAGCATCTTCACATCTTCAGATTGCACTTCTCCCCCAACCTCATTACCCAGAACTGAAACTCCACCAACACTGCTGACCAGCTCCAGTCCACTACTCTGTTGCATTACAGTTCATCTGATGACGGGTTTCACAATGATACGTGTCAGATTTCTAGCAGGTCTAGGAAAAGGCCAAATAAACACAATCCTCTGAGATTAAAACACATCCAATGCTCACATTAAGCATCTTCTACAGTTCACAGATGCTGTCGACCTCATCAACCTCCAGATGGTTCCCACGGCTGGATAGTGGCAGTTACGCTTTCTTTTTCTGCTGCATCGGCACCAGGAAATAACGTACAGTCACATGCAAATTTTGGGCGCCACTGGTCAAATTCCACATTGTTGTGATTTTCTGGGAGTAAATATGTGAACACATCTTCTACAGAGACACACTTCTGCACATTTTAACACAATTTTAATATACAGTTATTACTTTTTTGCAGAATTCAGCATACTGCGGAAATGCGGCCTGAGCTAAAGTTATAGCACATTAAATGTCTTCACTTATTTTCAGCAGATAAACAGAAATTGTGCACTAAAATTCACAAATCAAGGAGAAAAACACATCATTCCTCCGGTATCAGACTTGGCTGAGGTGCTGAAGTTAAAAAATAAAATCTAAAGGTGAAAAAGCATCCGCACACTCAAATCTGTGCTCACATATTGCACTAAAATTTGCACAAACATGCCATATTTAAGTTATTATACAGAAACTGTATACACCACTTTGCGACACTACATCAACTGCCAGCCAACCAACCTCCAAAATTCGCCTATCCTCTGCTGCATCACTCACTCCTGAGCTCCAAACTGCCTCAGGAAGCAACATCGGCACAAGAAAGGTGCATCAGAAGTTTCATGAAATGGGTTTCCATGGCGGAGGAGCTCCAGTGGCCTGCACAGAGCCCTGACCTCAACCCCACTGAACACCTTTGGGATGAACTGGAATGTCGATTGTGAGCCAGAACATCAGTGTCTGACCTCACAAATGCTTTTGACTGAATGGACACAAATTCCCACAGACACACTCTAAAATCTTGTAGAAAGCTTCCCAGAAGAGTAGAGGCTGTTATAGCTGCAAATGGGGACCAACTCCATATTAATGCCTATAGTTTTAGATTGGAATGTCCAGCAAGCTCATATAGATGTGATGGTCAGCTGATATACAGATACTCATATAGACACTTCTGGTCATATAGCAAACTAAAGCAACTGTCTAGCAACCACCTGGGTCACTATACCAACCATCTAGCAACACTCCTGAGATCCCATACCAACCACCCACCAAAACACCCATGGCAACCAACAAGAATCCATAGAATTCAACTAGCAACACCCTGAAAACCATCTAGCAACGTCTTAGCCAGGAAGCTCAAGCTGTGCAGCTCTGCGTGTTAATTAGTAAAGTTTTTAGTAAATTATGTAATTATATATTTAGATTTATAAATATATATATCTCTTCCACAGAGCAAAGCCTGAGTCTGTGTGTGTGTATGTGTGTGTATGTGTGTGTGTGTGTATGTACTGACCGTCCACGGCTCTGGTTCTGCTGCTGAAGCTGTGCTGGAGGCTGTAGAGTTCTTAGTACTGTTGGTTTCCGCTCGTGGATGAACATTAGCGGCATTAGCGCTGTTAGCTAAAGCTTTATTGTGAGGTCGTCGAAACAGAGAATAGAGAGTTAACAGCTGCCTCACTTTAAACTTCCTTCTCTCCTTCTCTCCCTCCATCTCTCCGCTAGTCTGGGCATCCCACCATCATCATCTCCTCCTCTATCTGTCCTGAGCCGAGGCTGAACTGACCGAGTTCTGCATGTTCTGTTATGCGTAAAAAGGAACGAGTGAGAAGAAACTGCTTCTTAAATTTACAACTCAAAACTACCACAATGAGAGTCAGACCTGAGAGTGAGAGAGAGGGAGAGAGAGAGAGAGAGAGAGAGAGAGAGAGAGAGAGAGAGAGAGAGAGAGAGAGAGAGAGGGTGTGCTTACTCTGAACTGAGACAGGAAGGAAGAGGCTGAGAGAGAAAGAGAGAGAGAGAGAGAGAGAGAGAGAGAGGAAGAAAATAAAGAGAAATAAACAGAAAGAGAAACAGAGATGAACAGAGATAGTAAAGGAGAGACAGAGTGATAAACAAGAGAAAAGGGAGAGAGAAAGAAAGAGTGAGAGACAGAAAATGAGCGAAGTGAAAGATAAGGAAGAGACTGAGAAAGAAAGAAAGAAAGAAAGACAAAATAAACAAAGAGGAGAAAGAGAGAGTGATAAAGAAACATAAGGACTGATACGGTGCTTTCGTATTTCATTATGGCTGTGTTCCAAATTGCTTATGTTTATAAGGTCACCTTTGTTGTTTCACTCATTATGGCTGTGTTCCAAATCGCTTCTATTCATAAAGCCACATTCATTTTTGACCCCTTAAACCCTAAAGGCTCAAATATGGTCCCACACTTATTTCCCCTCATACTTAAAATGGCATAAATTATGTTTTATAGCTGTTATTGAATAATGTATAGAAAATATTAGCTAATAAATTTTTACTACTGTTTTTTTATTCATTCTAATGTTTTATCATATTTTAAGATGAATGATTATTTTAAGCATATGGTTCAATGGGTTAACTCACTATGGCTGTGTTCCAAATAATTTCTGTTCATAAAGCTGCCTTTATTTTTAACTCATTATGGCTGTGTTCCAAATCGCTTCTGTTCATAATGCCGCCTTTGTTTTTAACTCATTATATGGCTGTGTTCCAAATCGCTGTTCATTAAGCCACCTTCATTTTTGACCCCTTAAATCCTAAAGGCTCAAATATGGACCCACACTTTTTCTCTCATACTCAAAACGACATAAATAATGTTTTATAGTTATTATTGAATTATGTATAGAAAACATTGACTGATAAAATTTTAAAACTACTTTTTTATTCATATCTAATCTTTTATCATTTTAGGTATATGGTTCAAGAGGTTAACCCATTATGGCTGTGTTCCAAATCGATTCTGTTCATATAGGTGCCTTTTCCTTAGACTCATCATGGCTGTGTTCCAAATCGCTTCTGTTCATAAACCTGCCTTCGTTTTTGACTCATTATGGCTGTGTTCCAAATCGCTGTTCATTAAGCCACCTTCATTTTTGACCCCTTAAATCCTAAAGGCTCAAATATGGACCCACACTTTTTCTCTCATGTTCAAAACGACATAAATAATGTTTTATAGTTATTATTGAATTATGTATAGAAAACACTGACTGATAAAATTTTAAAACTACTTTTTTATTCATATCTAATCTTTTATCATTTTAGGTATATGGTTCAAGAGGTTAACCCATTATGGCTGTGTTCCAAATCGATTCTGTTCATATAGGTGCCTTTTCCTTTGACTCATCATGGCTGTGTTCCAAATCGCTTCTGTTCATAAACCTGCCTTCGTTTTTGACTCATTATGGCTGTGTTCCAAATCGTGTCTGTTCATAAAGCCGCCTTCGCTTTTAACTCATTATGGCTGTGTTCCAAATCACTTCTGTTCATAAAGCCGCCTTTGTTTTGAACCCCTTAAACTCTACAGGCTCATATACGGTCCCACAGTTTTTTCCTCATTCTCAAAACTATTTTCTTATTACTTTTTATGCATATGTAATCTTTTAGTGTATTTCAAGATGAATGATCATTTTAAGTATAAGTGTTCCAAATCACTGCTATTCATAAAGTCACCTCAGTTGTTTCACTCACTAAGCCTGTGTTCCAAATTGCTTTTGTTCATTAAGACATCTACGTTTCTAACTCATTAGATGGCTGTGCTTCTGTTTTAGTCACCTTCCTCATTGAACTCAATATGGCTGTGTTCCAAACCGCTTCTTTTCCTAAAGCCGCCTTCGTTAACTCATTATGGATGTGTTCCAAATCACTTCTGTTTTTAAAGTCACTTTCCTCATTAAACTCATCATGGCTGCGTTCCAAATCACCCGTTTTTAAAGTCACCTTCCTCGTTAAACTCGTTATGGCTGTGTCCAAAGTCGCCTTTGTTTTTAAAAACTCATTATGGCTGTGTTCCAAATCACTTATGACAATAAAGCTGGCTTCACTTTTAAACTCATTATGGCTGTGTTCCAAATCGCTTGTGACCCTAAAGCTGCCTTCATTTTTTAAACTCATTATGGCTATGTTGCAAATCACTTCTGTTTATAAAGTCACGTTCCTCATTAAACTCATCATGGCTGTGTTCTGAACAGCTTCTGTTTACATAGTCGCCTTCATAATTAAACTCATCATGCCTCTGCTCCAAACTGCTTCTGTTTATAAAGGCTCATTCATTTTAAACTCATTATGGCTGTGTCCCAAATTGTGTTTGTCTGTAGAATCCACCACCTCTCCCATAAATCTTTGCTCCCTTCTCCTTCCCTACTTCCCCTCTTAGTCTGTGTCCAGTGTACAAGTGTTCACTCAAGTATATCTAAAAAAAAATATATATAAATACACTCACAATGCACTGCACAGACCAGCAGCAGAAGCACAGAGTCTTACAGCAAGCACACACAAGTCTGGCCACCAGGGGGCACCCACATGCTCCTCAAGTGAGAAAATATCACAGATGTGACTTCACTGCAGGACTTTAGACCTAGGTATGAATTCAGCAAAGCAGGCCAGTTCATTTACAGCAGCTTGCAGTAGAAGGGAGCCAGAGTTCAGTCCAAGCGCTAAGCTGTGCGCTCCAGGTGTGCTCTTACCTGTCTGATAATGCTGGAGAAGTCCTTCTCCACCCACGTGATCTCTGACCGCTTCTGCTAGGGGCAGGAGGAGAGACTCATAACGGCTCTGTTCCAAATCACTCATGCTACGAAGGCAGGCTTCATTTAATTTATTACGGCTGTGTTCCAAATACCTTACATTTTCAGATGTATTTTGGCTGTGGCCCAAATCCCTTGTATTCAGAGCACCTTCACTTTAAATCATCATGGTTGCGTCTCAAATTGCTCAAGTGTTCTTGTCAAACTCATTAGGAGCTCATGGCTGTGTTCCAAATTGCTTCTGTTCATAAAGCTGCCTTCATTTTTTTTTTAACTCAGGCCCCTTAATTTAACTCATTACAGTCACATTCACAGAACAACCTTCACTTCAACTCACTGTGGCTGTGCTACAGACAGAGATGATTTAACTCGTTCTGGCTGTGCTCCAAATCACTTTTGTTCACAGGTCGACTTCACAGCTGTGCTCATTTAATCCACTATGGAAGCACTATAAAAAATTCAGTATCTACTATGAATTATTCAGTAACTACTATGAGTTACTCAGTAACCAATATGAATTATTCAGTACCAACTGTGAATTATTAGGTCTACTCTTCTGGGCAAAAAATGGGCCCAGAATGGCAAAATATTAATATTAAAAATAGTAACTTAATGTAGGAGAGATTTTTGCTCTGATTTCTTTAAATGTTGAGGTTTTGTGTGTAAATTTGCAGACAGTCTTTTATAGAAAAAAGAGTCAGTATTGATCCACTGACAACTTCAAACAGCTGAACAACATTGCCGATCAAGTTTGTGTTTAACGTGAGGCCAAATATTCTCTATAGGGTTTAAATCTGGACTCTGACCAGCCAAAAACAGCAGTAAACACCATTATATTTTGGGTTTGGCCCATCATTGCTCAGCAGTGTACACTACAACAATAAGACATGAGAGGCTGTGTGTTACTGCAATTTTATCACAGGGAAGGGTGTTGTTAGGCACGACACGATTGCTTTTATAAAATGGTGGTCAACATAGATTATGATGAAAATACACAATTTTCAGTAAATAATTAATTATTAATAATAATCAACATAAACAAGTATTCCGCCAAGTAATGTAGTTACTTTAGCATGTGGTATCGTTGCCAAGCAACCATAGACTGCTGAAGGCAGAGAAGAAAGTTTGGTTGCCCATCCCTGGATACTGCGGTCATTTCACTAACTTTTTAACTTTTTGTCTTATATTAATGAACATACCACAGCACTGTATAATGCAAAAAACCTTCGCTGTATAAGTACTTTTTGGTCACCAAATTACCACCGTGAGTCTCTCCTCACACTGGGGCTGAATCTCAAATGGCTCCCTGCCCCCTACAAAATGCACTACGTAGGAATTTAAATACTCCTGCACCCCAGCAATGCAAACTATAGCTAAGAAATAAGTCATTAAAAATAGTCATTTGGGACACAGCCACATCCACACTCGATAAAGGATGCACTATTTGGCTGTAGAGACTAGAATTTCTAAACTTTCATAGTCAGCACACTATTTAGGGAGTACTGAGCCGTTTCAGCCTGGGTTTGACGTGACTTCTGACTAAAGCACGAACACTTCAAGCATGTAAGCCATTCAGGTGACATTCTTTAGACTTTTATTTGGGGTGGGGGGAAAAATCGATTCTTAGATGCTTCGCGATGCGGACGTGGACAATTCTGAATTGATTCACCATTGTCAAAAAACGATTTTCTAAATTTAAATTGATAACAGAGTCACAACCCAAATGTTAAGAAGAGCCATTTTGTCCTTTCAACAAAAATCAAACCACCTTGGGAGTCACAACATTTTATGTCCAGTATGTCTCAGTACGTGATTATGTACTAGTATAAAAATATAAACGAAAACACAAACTTACTTTGCTCTACTTTAAGCTTTAGCTTAGCTATAGCCGCTTTCCTCCCATCTCTGCCAGAAAACTTTTCCTCAAAAGTAGAGCAGCTTATTGTAAAATGTCTCTCAACGTTCAACTGTTTTACGAGGCTGAAGTCGCTTCTTATTCTCCAGCTTGTTCGAATTTTCCTGTTCCACCTTAAATTCTGCCTGAGGCACCAGAATGTAAATGTGGCACCATTTAAGGTGGAACAGGACAATTCGAAAGAGAAGCTGACTTCATCTTTGCAACTTTCTAGTGTTTGACAGTCTCTCATTGCAGGTTCAACGTTCCAGGAAACCAACTGTGCTGCTTATAAATGCGAATAAGTCCATTCATCTCCAAATGTTCGTCTTAAATCTTTCTCTTTGCCGTGTCGTTAGCTACTAGCTCAGCGAGACTGTGTTGCTGTGTGACCTGCAATCTGCACACCAGTTCTCAGTCGTTAAGAACCTGGGCTTTCACGCTACGTTGCACACTTTGGAGCAGAGATACAGCACCCTGTCTCAAAGATATTTTATTGACATAGCGACGCCCCCCCCCCAGCCTCTGAATCATAATCGAATCGAATCGTGAGGTACCTAGAGATTCCCACCCCTAACTTTTATACTGTCGTTTTACAGTGAATCATACTGTAAGTGCTTTAATTACAGCCTGTGATATTAATAATGGAGTTGTTTAGCATGTTTGCTATCTTTTAGCCTGTTAGCTAGCTGACCAGCTTAGTTCTAGTAAAGAACATAAGTTGCCAGCCACCCAGTGTAAACAAAAAAGGGTTCTTACTTCATCAGTACATTCGGTGGTCCATGTGAGCAGCAGGAGAGTCAAAGATCATTCTATTAACAGCACAAGGATTTTTCGTGATGTGCCCATAGATGTGTGTATATTGTGTATTTTACAAAGGCTTCGAACGCAGCTCAGCCAATCCGATTTCAGGACAAGAACTGTACGTTTTATAATATTAATTATTCAGTATCTACTAGGAATTATTCAGTAACTACCATGAATTATTCAGTATTAACTATGGACTATTCAGTATTAACTGAAGAATAAGAATGACAAACAGAAGTGTGGAAGCGAGGGGTCTTTAAAGTTTAAGTGGCCCCCCCCGTCGAGGCACACTGACCATTGTTACGTCACTCCTAATTTCCCATTTTTGCCAAACTGTGTGAGCGAAAGACGGAAACGTCAACATTTTCTCATTTCCTGAGCTGATTACTCTACAAAACTGAACGCTGCCGCACAGACACGCTCAGTTCGGCCTTATCACGGCCAGCAGAAGTGGGAGGTGTGGCCTAATAAAGATTTCCCAAGATGCATTTCCTGCCTTCCTTCTGCTATTTCAACACAGCTTCAGCTACAAGAGACAACGACACTGAAATCCTGCTGCTTACACCACAGCCCTGCATGAGTAACGTACTTTAGGCCATGTTTGTAGATAACAGTGAGTCATACAGAGTCATACACCACATAATCAAGTCTATTAGAGATTATTGAACACCTCCACACAGTTTGAGATGATTTAGGCCTGCAGTTAGCACCATGCTTATTGGTGGGGTTTAAAGCAGCGCTATGAAAACTGAATGAAGTAGCACTACTGAGTTAGTAGAATAAAAACAGGCTATAATATGGTGAGTGTGCGCTGCTGTGAGTCGCCCTGTAAAGCCTGAAATAATCATTTAAAAGTCAGAGGCGTCGAGTCGGGTTTTTCACACCGTTTTACAGTGAATTATACCGTAAGTACTTTAATTCAAGTCTGTGATATTAATGATGGAGTTGTTTAGCCTGTTAGCTAGCTGACCAGCCTAGTTCTAGTTAAGAACATGAGTTGCCAGCCACTCAGTTTAAACACAGGTTCTTAGTTCATCAACATACTCGGTGGTCAGTGTGGGCAGCATGAGAGTCAAAGGTTATTATATAACAGCACAATGTTTTTTTGGTGCCGTGGCGCAGTAACACAGAGTCCAGTCGCTGTGAGAAGGTCATAGGTGTGCGTATATCGTGGGTTTTACAACGGCTTTGAATGCGGCTCAGCCAATCAGATTGTAGGACCGGAACCGTTCGTTTTTATAAAGATGGATATATGTGAATGAATAAGCGAGCTTTGGGAGTGGACATTAATTTTTATTTATTTATTTATTTTGTGTGTGTACATAAGTCCAATGATATGCAAATAATGGCTTTCTTTTAATTACACTGGTCATCAGGCTTGTTAAAAGGTTGCAATTATATTTGAATGAATAAAGCAGCTCTGAGATAAACAGTAAGTGGACATTCACTTTTATTTTGGTGTCCTGCACCAGTACCCATTGGTGGGGTGTGTCCACTCCCGCTTAGGACTTTGTACAGTGTAAGTTAGGTTTCTGGCCACTTTAAATGAATGGTTTAAATCTAATTTACACATTTTGTCCACTGTTTAATCCACCAGCCAAGACACATCCACCGTCCAAATTTTGCTTCTTTAATTTAGAGCTGGAGCTACGAGGCTAACATTGCTAACAAACACCGAAACTCAATAGACACCAAACTGTTTTCTGCAAATTCATCCACAAAACTTCTCAAGCAGCTCAAACCACATACTGGCCTTCGTTAAGGAGGCGCAGACTTGCTGATGTGATTTAGGACACGGTATGACTCACCATGAGCTAAAATTAACTAAATCCTAGACACAAACTTTAAACTTTTACACAAACAACTGCCCAAATTCACCTTAGCAGCCTCAGGTTTCTCTATCAAGAGATCAGAGAATCAACTTGCATAAGGAACAAGAAAGAGTTCCAAAACTGCCCCCATCAGATAAACAGCACTTAGAGCTTTCATCTTTGAGAGAGAGGAGAAAATCAAGCTGCTTCAGATCTGAAATCATCCACAGGTGTTTCTGTCCATCTTTCCACTGTGAGAAGACAACTCAGCGCTGTGGGTCTGAAAGGATGTGTAGCTGTCAAAAAGCCTCACTGAGAAAAGGAGAGACACATCAAACAAAGAAGCTGAACAATGGACTGACCACCCCAGAGTCCAGACCTCAACATCACTGAATGGGGTTGATTACTTCAGAAAATCATCAACCAACTTCTGAGACTGAACTTTGGAGGTGTGTCTGCAGATTTCTTTGAGAAACTGAAAGTGA